AAAGCCGCGGACAGTTAAGCTAGAAATAGATTCAAGAACACGAAGGTTTCCAATACCAACACAAGTCTTAACATTTATAAAGCAAATAGACTTTGGGTACTCAACCTGTAACAACCCATTTTTTCTTTGCAGCAAAATTGCCGTCGGAAACTCAACTAGCCCCAGTACATAAGCTGATCGCTACAGGAGTCGAACTCGGGTACATCAGGCCCGACTACACTCTCATCGGCCACCGCGCGGTGTCCGCTACCGAGTGTCCTGGAGGAGCCCTATTCCAGGAGATCAGCACGTGGCCCCACTTTGACAAAGAAGTATCCGAAAACCAACCGACGACTGAGGCTGTTACACAATTAAATTAAATTAAATCATTACCTTTTTACTATTGTTTTTCATTTGTTTAGGAACATTGAGTGATTCTTGGACTGTCCAAAGTTGGACACTTTATTTTGAGATTAAAGTACACTAGACACAAACCTAATCTAAATCTACATTGTAGCCTTTCAGTTAAAAACAGTAATTTTATAAAATACATCGCTAAACCATCCATTTGAACTTAAAAACCAGCTTAAAGCGATGCGACTAACAAATGAGGGATCCGTTTATTTTCCTACACCTACATGCGTGCTAGGACAACACTTGCCCTCGCTTACATGTCTTTCAAAACATTCTCTTTATTTTCTGAGCCTTAACATTTTTATAACATGCTTTCATTGGGCAAAACACATAATAACAATAATAGCTTTTCGGTCATAGATCAGCATCAGCTACTTACAGCCTAGGTCGTACCTACTTACGTGAACCATTTGCACGGCGTAGAGTTAAGAGGCTGTATAGGTAATTCTACATCTTCATTACATCATTTGTCTTTATCTGAAACGAAACAAAAATAGTCTGTAAATACAAAGTATAATAGGGAAAGTTAATAATAATATAATAATTCGTTCATCAAGGCTTGATAATATCTCAGAAGATATTCTATGTCAAACAATATCATCAAAATGTCTTTAAACAGGAGCAAGTACATGGATGTTATTCCCCTGGTATGATTTATCAAATCAATTTGTTGATTAGCCTAGTCATCCAAATATGCATCAATACAATGATACCTACCTACTTAAAAGAGCGCGATGATACATATCTATCTAAAAAACGATTGTTTGGTCGTAATTTGCGAATACCTACTTAAGATATTATGTTAATAACTACTATTCTTCTTGTCATGTAAGTGTTACAATCCTGGACCTAACCCAAAGAAAAAATCACTGCGTCTCTACATAAGTTTGTTTATTGGAGTTAATCGAATAGAAATTGATAAACTTACTCTGTATGAACTAGAGAGTAGTATACGGCGCCACTTTTGTGCCCAGAATATTTAACCAATTTAGAAGAGTCATACATATAGGTACAGCTACACAGATTAAGTATAGAAATATGTTAAATAAAGAGTTTTTGAAAATCCATTAATCCACGCAGGCCGTAGGCAAAAATTAGCAAAGACACAAAGGATTTGAGGAAAGGAGAGCCATGTCCAGCTGATTTGTAACATTGATTAGGTGTAGGTATAATGATGACCGGATTGTCTGATAAGAAAACATATTTTGAAGGTTCATTAAGTGATCGTTTCAATGTCAGACGTCGTTGGTTTAAGTACACCATTTTTATTTTGGTGTACTAGGTGGTACACTTTAAATAGTGACATAACTTATTTTTCTATCTTGATCTGACTTGTATTTTTTTTTTCAACTTAAGTATCTAACTCTATTGCAAACCTATATGCAAATTCGCTTAAATATGTTATATGTCATTCATCATGGCTATGTAGCTTTAAAGCGACCCATTGCTTAAGTACTTAAAAATCAGATGCACAACTTACAAGTATAATCTTTCTAAAGGTCTATGTTGGTTTGGTTTTTCCTTTTCACCCAATACACTGGGACTAATGAGCCTGAAAAACAGATCTGATTTGCGAAGTACAGTACAGCCTATACCAGTCCGTCTACTGCTAAACACCCCAATACGCGCCATTTTAGCTTAAAATTGTTGCAATTCACGAAGGCGAGTGAGCTTTACATGTGTGATTGCTCGCTACTGATCGTTTTTCAAAAGTTTTGACAGATATTACACTATCGTTATGTGCATGTACAGTGTACATGTACACACACAAGTAAAGCTCACTCGACTTCGTGAGTTGCTAACTATATACCTACATTACATCTTCTGCCAGCACCGTTTGCAAGTCGTCACTCCACCTAGCTGAAGGACATTCTACTCACACCAGAAATAAGCTTTTACATTTTTTAGCCAAGGTTACTACTGCACCAAATCGCGAATACTTACTTAATGATAGATTGCCCGGAGTCCTGCAAGCAGGACTTAAAGTACTTCCGGTAGGACGCAAAATTAAAAGATCACAGTTTCGTAAGTATACATTGTACAAAGTTCAAATTTATACAAAAAAATAGAGTGTTTCTTTCTCTTTCACCCAATAGTGCCCAAGATCTAAAAACGCGACTAACCGTTAGCCAGAGCCCGATGGCGCACGAGTATACACGGGGGCAGCGCGTTCGCGCTCGCGCGACACATTTTGACGCGCCGGGCCTGGAGTCGGCAACATTTTGGCGATAATATTATAATGAATGTGTAGTATTCCAGCCTAATCAAACATTTATAATTTATTTCTTGTTTTTATTTTTAATTTGTAGTGTATTTGTAAGTGATAGGTGTAATTTCTAATACAAAGTGACGTACTAAAGTAATTAATTTAAAGTTCCTTATTATAGTTCCTATTAGTTAAGTTAAAAGAAGATAAACAAGTTTATAATATATTAAGAAAAGTAAAAGACTGATTAAACGAAATGATTCTACGACATGACTTTTTATTTAATAAACACTAACCAAGTGTTTACTACTTCTGGTGAGTATGAGTTCAAATTTGAAGGTCACCGTACTGCTGGAAGGACCAGCAAGCAAAAACGTACAAGTTGCGTACTGCGGGCAGGACTTGCGACAATCTTCTGGCAGGACGTTTAGAACAAAAAACCAGTCCATCCAGAAGAGCTTCCAGCAGGACAAAGCACCGGGCAATCTATCATTAAACGTAATTTACCTATTTAAAGTCATTAAGATCTTATGTAAAGATTTACATTATCTCTAGAATAATCTTGTAGTGTGCACACATCGATTAAAATTATCGCTATGTCACATCAATATCAATTAAATGATAAATAAATAATTACTGTGATTGGCTGGAGTTTTACAGGTCAGCCAATGAAAAGGCTAGTCTTACTTATTAAATATGGCCTCCACGCCTGCTGGAAACATACCCTTTTTCATTTGGCATTAAGTTAATTTTATTTGAAGCGTCAATTCAGTTTCTGTTATTTGTATTTGATACACATGTCGGTATCGTACGCATCGGACGTATCGCACGCAACGGATCGTAGTATTATTTATATAGAAACTCATATAAGTGCGTCCATCTGTCCGCATCGTACGCATCGCACATCCGATACGATGCGTTTTGTACGATGCGTCCGTTGCGTACGATACCGACAAGTGGACGCTTAGAGTAGGCGCACACCGTTGATTTTTAGTTGGCCGATAGTTGTGCCCGATTTTAAATTGTATGAAGAATCGGCCAAATCGAATCGGCGTAGTGTGCGCACTCCCATACATGCCCATACTGTACCTCTAGTAGGAAAAACTTTCGAGTTCGTTTCGTTGCGTATTCAAAGTGTCATCGAAAAATTTTGTATGAAAAATTAAACAGCGCCCCCTAGGGCGGCTATAATATAGGGGGCGCTGTTTAATTTCCGACTAAACTATCGGCCGACGAAAAATCAACGGTGTGCGTCGGAAGACCATACTCTTAGCTTTAAGGAATGTTTGAGTCAAAAATAATAACTCTACAGTTAAAAATACAGATGATCAATTATATGAAGTTTGAAACGATTGTCTTTACATTATAATTGCGGATACCAACTTTAATAAGACATTCACAAGTTACTTTTTTGTGTAAATAATAATTCCAAGTTCCAAAATGTTAAAATATGAAAATAAATGTTACATCAACCTTAGCTACGATCTTAGATTGCATACGAGTGTTATGTACTCGTATGTAGCTTTTATTGACATAAGAATTATCATCAACTATATTTTTTGTTTTTTCATCGATATATTGACCAGTTAGTGATGTCACCTTTCTTAAGACATTACGTCGAAATTATATTTTTTTGCTTAGAAGTTATATCAAGGAACTTTTTAGCGTAAACTAACAATTATAACTTGTGTAAAATATTTATAAAGTCGTCGTTTGGTCTGACTCAAAGATCTAAGGTTAGATTATTATTATTTTTTATCAATTCCAATGATGAGGTCAAACGAGCTTGAACTTCCATACATCCATACTGAGTTTTTTAACAGCTCCTCACAATTATGTGTAACTAACTCTACCTCTGTTTGACACAAAATTTAAAAACATCAGTTACATTTTTCTTCAAAGTTTTATCAGTTTTTCTTACTATGATTTTTAAAAATTAATTTTATTATTTACAAACGACAAGTGAATTGTACATACAACCATGTTACGGAAAATTTATAAATTGGAAACTAATTTTCTTCTGTTTGCGCTATAGCTTCACTTACAGTAAGACTATAGTTTTTCAATTGGAAATAAATGTGCGTATGACCTAGATAGATACTGTTGATTGAATAATCAAGATTATTAATAATAAAATCATAATTTCACAGCTGGTCATCGAACTATAAGAATTCTACTACGCAAAAGCCACGATATTATAATATTGTGATGTTATGTAATGTAGATAATCCATCTGATTGATATAATTAATTGTTATTAAGTATAACTTGTTACATTACATCTCAAAACAAGTTATTGATTATATGTGAATCCCTAAAATCTGAATGGCAAAGCACACCATTATTTTGCTCTGGGAAGAACCGGGGTGCGAACAATTTCGTATAAAACCGGCGCTGCGTTACATTGGCCGTCAATACAAGTTGCACATCTAGAGGAGATTATTATTTATCTTGTCATTATTATTGTGAGATAATTCACGATGATTGGCTACGTTCTGAGCATCGTTGTTGTTTTTGTTAGCAGTGTGGTGAATGGGTTCCCCGAGAGATATGTGGGGGGTAAGTGTGTTAAATATTTTATTATGCGTATTTTGGCTCTAATATTGAGACTTAGGACCATTATAGGCAATATTATTATGCCTTTGAGATCCAATACTTAGTGAGTTGAACTTATTTAGTTCTGAGTATGGTTCCTTTATAAAAATTGTCACAAGTTGCTCTTAAAATTCAGGAAAGTGATGCAGTCTCAAATAAAATTTTCATGAAATATGAAATTGGTAATAAGACCTAGAACATAGAGTTCATAATTCACTAGGAAAAGTCGTCATTTTGTAAGAGTTTTATGACCTTACACTGCCCTTTTCCATAATAAATTAATAAACCATTGCAATATACCTACTGTGGTTATGTATCTACGTGTCGGAAGACCATACACCAACACCAGGTGCGATTGCGGTCAAATACCTGCCTTGTCTAGCATATAAAAAAAATACTCTTTAGTTAATGACTGCAATAACGACTTTTTTCCTGATAAATGAAAGTACTAGAATAAATCAATATCCTTCAGTTAGGGACTTTCCCAACATACAATAACCAACTGCATACCTAATAAGTACCTCTTATAAATAGAGACAATAGGGAAATGCACCACTAGAATCACATATCAGTCACCTAATTGCTTGCTAAGAAGCGGTAGCGTTTGTAAACATAAAAAAAAATGGAAATGGAAATGGAAAGAGTATTTTTTCCAATAAAGTTTTCAGGTAGGTTGTACTTAGGTATATGAAGATTTAGGCTGAATTGTAACACCAAACTTTGGAACTAGTAGGTATAAAGATAACCGGTGTTTTTTTAAACGGAGTTTGATAGATTTTTGACGTCTGTTAAAGTAAAAATTAAAATAATGCAACCCAGCCTTAAAGGTTCGATGTCATTTTCTATAAAAAGTAGAGCTAAATAATAGATAATTGTACATCATGCTAGTTTAGCCGACGGTTTTTCCGCGTGAAATTCAGTGTGTCATAGAAAAACGCGTATTAGAGCGACAGGCAAAAGTGATATAATTTTCATGTTAATAGTTACGAAAAACGTGTTTTTCATAAAGATTAACTTATTATTTACAGAAAAAACATCAGAAAACCACTACCCCTTCAAGCTCTACAAACGTCAAGAATGGGGAGCTGAGCCCGCCACCAAGATCGTGCCTCTGAACACGCCTGTACCATACGTGGTCATCCACCACACCTATATCCCCGCCGCCTGCAATACTACTGAGGACTGCATGGCCGGCATGAGGTCCATGCAGAGGTACCACAACAGCCAGGACTGGGGCGATATTGGATACAAGTAAGTACATTTTTTTATCCACAACGAGGAAGCTCTTGGCCTGTATCTCACCTGATGGTAAGTGACGATCAGGCCGAAGGTGGAAGCGAGCTTCACCCGGAATCCTCAACCACGGAGGAACTGGCTATCATACCTTTAACTGCCGGAACACAATAATGCTGTTAACATTGTTGCTATGGCGACGGACTTAGGTAAGATGGTGGTAGCTAGCCAGGCGGACTTAGAACAAGCCCTACCACCTACCAAACCGAACAGAAAAATCTGCCCCCACTGGGAATCGAACCCGGAACCTCTGCGTCTGAAGCAGGTGGTCTTACCACTAGACCACAGAGGCGGTTAAATTTGGCGGTTGATTTTCTTCTTGTCGTGTCGACAACAAACCTACACAGTGTCAGCCCCAAACTCCGCCACAAGAGTGGCGTTGTCAGTAGCCTTCAGTAAACCTTCCTGCGTGCAGTTGTATGGGCACGCAGGGCACAACATCATGTGGGGAACAAAACCACATTTGCACTCCAAGTTTGAGCCATCCAATGCCCACATGAAAAGATTGTCCTTACCATGTAGTATGTAGATCCTAAGTAATAACTGAGTAAGTTTGACGTGAGATTCTGGCAGAGAATAGTTAATAGGACCACCAGGATGTCGGGATGATGTGGATGTTATAAAAGACGACTATGGGAGAATATACGAATATCAGACCTGCCGAACCCGTCTGGTCAGCGCCAAATCCTATATTTGCCTGTGCTTGTAAAGGATTCTCTTGTAGTGGAAACGAAATAGCCATTATGTCATAATCAGACGATGAGTAGATGTCTGCCTTTAACACTGACGTGGTGACGTTGGAATTGTATTGAACTTGTAGACTCATTATGGGTTCAATGTCCAACACACGTAGTGTAAAATCACTCAATAAATGGTCCTCTACTGCTTATCAAGCAGAAAATCAAAATTTAAAGGAACGGGTTACGAATAAATACAATTTCAGGACATTCGACTCAATTAACTTCAGATTCAATTGTTTTGCGCAGTCGATCCAGTGCCGAAAAGTCATTCATTAGTCATTACCATCTTAGAACCATTCACCTCACGTACAGTCATCTCAATGTAAGTTCCCATTAAGGTGAATTTCGCAAAGCTTACACGAATAGTTTACTTATTTCTGTTCCGGATTGTTCCTTTGAATAATAAGTAAGCACTCGTAATTGAAACCACGTGTAGTGACTCATTCATTGATCGATAGTCAGATGTTTGTGTCGAGAGAGGGTTCAGTAGTAAGTATAGTAGAAAAACGACAGAATCTTTTACAAGAAGGTGAAGTAGACTCAACACTGTACAGAATATGTGGTAGAATCGACAACTAGTTATGTATTTATGTCATGTTCTACTAGTCGAGTGTAATAACTACATAAGTATTATGTGTTCTAACTTGACTAGTAGAAGATGTATTCAGCCTACAAATTAACATAGACCAAACAGGTAGAGTTTATCAGATGGAGAATACGAACGAAAGTATAAAAATAAAGAAAAATGCTCAAAATAGTCTCGGGCAGATATTTATAACGATATTTCATAAGCATAAACTAAGCATTTAGTTTTTTTGTCTTGCATTTGAAATATTTTCCGTTGAAATGAGACTATGACAAACTAAGCAAGTTTTATAATCTTCAATTTGCTCTACCTTCTTACTAAGTATAAAAAAACTTTCAAACATATTAAAAACGACCTTAGGGAGATTGAATCTCCTTGTGTATTTTTCCATATTATCTACTGAATACATTTCTACTACGAATCTCTCGTGATGTCGTCATCCTAGGTCACGAAAACAAAGTGATAACGAATGAATAATACTTATCGAATCATTTTAATAGGTAAATAACATCTTCTACGTCACATAAACAGGTTATAAAAAGTTTATTTCATTGCCTGTTCGCGAATGAGCCAATCGAGTTAAGAACGTAGGCATATAGACTTATTATACTGATACGGGTATATGTATACTAATTTGAATGTTAATTTTTAAGTTTTGATGATGGTAGACTAGTTTTTAGAAATGACAGTCCATAACNTTAAAAATAACAGTCCATACCTCTCAGGTTTATTCTCGATACTTGACTTCTGTTCAGTTTCAGATTTCAGATTATTTAACAACACTGCATAAAACTAAAAAGGGTGGCTATTAAAGAAGTACTGTTAAAGTACATTGTATGGTGGTCGGAACATTATTTATGTCTGGCCGAGTCAGACTTGTCGTTGCCGGTTTTTTAAAGGTAGACTTGAATGGCGACAACCTTTTTTTGACGTGAGTTCGATGAACGTAGGTACGTCTCATCGTACATTACAGAAAAAGCCAGACACTTTTCGGATTACAAAATAATGTATAATTGCTTTTGAACTAGGTAGTTCTTTTAAAATTCATAATTAAAAAAAATACAACTTGTCACTTAACTTTATAGCTGTAACTTAGTAAATAATTATAAACTAAGTAAATGTGACCGGAAAAAGGCAAATAACAATGTAACAACTTAATACTTTTAGTGTAGACGTGATAATGTTTCTGACATCATAACAATCATCTACGATTATAATATGCCGACATGTACAAGCATTCATTTCAATGATGATGACTATTTTTAACGCGGTAAGTTTATTTACCCGTTATGTAAAAGATGGCACCGTGTTTCCGAGGACATGAAAAGTGTATTATGTGGTTCACCTCTGGTGTGTGTGAGTCATGTGTCATGTTAGCTTTCGTTAAAGTTGGATACACACATCCCTAACTTAAATGTTAACTTTTAAGTTAGGGTTGTGTATGTGATTTATGGCTTAGTACGAATTACAAAGTTCTGAGACTTTACTATCCGTTTTGATAATCATGACACGCCTTACTTTCCTGGAAAATGATTGACCAAAGTTCGTTACTAAATTATCTTAGTAAACTATGCACACTAAATTTTTTGCAATTACTTCAAAGTCTCGAGTTAATCAAACTGGTAGGTAGTTAATTACGAATATCTACCATTGTTGTAAGTAAATTAACATTGAACTGCCTAATCGCCACAAAATTAGCACCATGACAGGATGATGAATACTAACTATAAATAATCAAAACCCGAGCATTGTTTAGAGATTCATTTTTTGTTCGACTAAACCCGTTTTGCACGCTCTATTTTTCATGTCATACAATCAACGAGACAGGCAGCAATTTATTTTATTTTTAAATCACGTTCCAAAAATAAACTCTCAAATATATAAAGAGGTTCGGACGGGAAACCCAATATCGCTGAATTTGATATAAAAAGGTTAGACTTCAGATGTAAATAACCTTTGGGGGAACAACCGCGAGGTCGCAGTTTAGTGTGATGTTAACACGTTAAAATGCTATTCAAAGTGCAATGATTTTCAACATCCGGTTTTGGCTAAGGTCGAAACACGGAAACTGACCATAATAGAATAAAGTTGTAGGTAAAATGTCACGACAAAACCCGAATTCGGAGCTCGGTGTAAAAGGTTAACGGCATTTTTTACCTTATTGTTCTGTTGTGTCAAAGTCAATTACCTAACACTGTTTGTTTTTCGAATAAAGTAAAATATAAATAAATAAGGTAATTAATTAATGGACGAAATAGCTAATAAAATCAACAATCTAATGATTTACCAACTTCAAGCTTAGAACAATCAATATGGCTTGGTCAGACTCTATTCGTAGCTAAGTAAGTCACAAAAATTAGAATGAAGAGTTTAAAAACTTGTGGCTTCAAGAGAATTATACTCCTTGTGTATGTGTGAAGATAACGACCGGAATTAACGTAAAGGAAGTAAAACGATTTTATTTATTTACATAAGATCGTCTAAAGAAGCAAGGTCCAATATTTATTGAGGATTTTCCTTTTGCGACTAAGGAAGAGCAAACCTAATTATTTTTATGTGTTCTATAAAGTTCTATTCTTAATCGGAACAAGTCCAAAGTCACGTTTTGTATATCTTCCATGTTATATTATGATCGGAATGATAAAAAAACACGTCATTTTTGCACACGGTTATAAGTTACATAACATAAAATAAAAGTACTAGTTACTCCGTTTAAAAACCTTGACTCGACGTTTTCTATGACGGAAATTGTGCGCTTAATGTGCAGTAAAATATATAGCTGCAACAGTTTTTTTCGGGTGATAGAGACTGTCGTATGTAACTTAGATGAGGTCACGTTAACTAGGTACTGACAAAGTCATACTATCCGTTTTATCCAAATAGCATACTGCAGAAAGATTCAAAGGACCATGTCTTACAAGCTTACAACCATGGTATAATCGGATTCTGCACATCGTTAGCTCAATTAGCATTATGGTCAATGTTCAAACATTTTTTTTCTTCATTCTTCTCACAAAGCTCAGACAGTACATAAATAACAAGTGCCCTGACTAAAGTTTTCTCTATTGCCAACTATTGACTAAGTTCCTAGCATACAAAAACTTAAATGCCCCAAATAATATAATAGAAACAATAATCTACAAGAATATTAACGATAAATATATATTTCAACAATGTAACGTTGTATGGTTATGCTATGATCTTTAAGATAAACCTAATCAGAAATAGCCATAAAAATGATGATCGGCTTAACGAGGTTTTAAGTGGAGACCACGTTTTGTCAAGCTTATCGTGAGCGCCCTACACAAATCTTCCATCAACCAAGTCCAAAAAATGACTGCGTTCTTAGACTGCGTTAAATATATTGTCTTTCCGTTCCAGTACTCACATCACCGTTTGGTTTCAGTTTCTGCATTGGCAGCGAGGCAGGCGTCTACGAGGGCCGCGGCTGGCAGACGAAGGGCATCCACGCTGGTAGAGCCAACGGAGTCAGCGTGGGCATCTGCTTGATCGGCGATTGGAGAAGTAAGGCCATCCTACTGAAAAAGATAATGTTGACGTTAATAATGACAAAGTTATAAGCGATCTAATCTCGATTGAAACTTAAACATAGTCCCGAGCCTGCGATGGGTAAAATTTTAAATAAGTACCATATTAGTTTTTTAAAGTTAATCAATTGTTTTAATCACAGGATTATAATATTGTCATCATAAAATATGATGATTAATTAGAAGATTAAACCAACACTAGAGGCATCAACTACCATATTAGTAAACGATAAATTTTTACAAGAAAAAGAAAAAAAACATAAACATGTACCTGTAGTTTCGGTAATCCATGTACAACACTGGCCTCGGACAACACTGCAGTGTATTGTAACTAGGTCGGAACAAAATGTTATCATAACTGATATTGTTTACTTTTGCAGTTAAAAGATTATTAGGCTAGGTCAAGTGGATATCACTGATGATACATTAGATAATTAGGTTTTGCGTTTTTAATTTCCTACTTTTATTACATTGTGATTATATTGGCCTTGTAAGATTAAGATAAGAACTAGATTGATTCATGTATAAGTAGTTACTATTCATGCAAATTTTTGTAGAATTAAAAACTAATCCATTACTACTTTAAATGGTTTTCCTGAGTCAATGTTACCTAAAATTATTCCACGTTAGTTGAAAACTCCGAATCTACATATATTGAAGTAGGTCAAAGGTAGACCTAGCTAGACCTTCCCAAGAATGCTGGTCGAAGACTTTTTGTCACTCTTTAGCCGTAAATTACCAAAAGCAATATCATTACATAATATGGTCAAGATCATCCAATAAGAATTGGAAATAACTAATTTTGTTTTACCTACTTTTTTGTGATTTAGTACCTACTTTTATTATCTCCACAAAACATAAAATTTATCAGTGACACTCCTGAAAATGGATGTACAATCGATTGGGCTAGGTCAAGACCGATCGAGTCGGCCTCAAGAGGGTTTATTATCGACATTTTGTTTGTACTTACTATCATCACCAAGACCATGAGATAACTTGGATACATTACTCAAGATTAGCGATGTTCGGTAACACCTAGTTTGTTGTTTTANTGACGTACTTTATGGATGACCCCTTATCACACTTAACAACCCGGAAAGGGATCGTAACCGTATCGACTCGAGGCTGTCACTATTCTTTGTATGAAACTCCATACTGCATGCAAATTATGCAATGCACATAGGGGCGTTGTCGCTCGTATTCACAAACATTACTATGAGGTCTCACAGTTCGCGTGGACGCACAGGGTGACACATGAACGTTTGTGAATACGGGCGTATAATCAGCACCGTAATGTAAACGCCTCGCTTTGCGGTTGACAGCACGTNTTGTTTTTACATTCAATAATTTATTGCTTTTCGAGGTAATTTATTTGCGCTAATGAACCGTGAACGCGTACCTACGTAGGAATATATTGTAATTTGTTTATTTTTAACTTTTTTTTATCCACAACAAGGAAGCTCTTGGCTTGTATCTCACCTGAACTACTTCTAGGTTTCTTATGCTTGCGATTATAAAGTAAGAAAAGTTTCAGTATCGAGATTTCTGCGAGTCTAGTTTTCCGGTAAAAATCACAAAGTTACAAAATCGCATCTATTAAAAGTATAACAGTAAATGCGACTTTGACGAATCAAAATCTGTAACGAAAGTAGATAAATTATAAAGGCTGGGTTGCACCATCTTACTTTAACTATAACAAACGTCAAAAGTCTGTCAAACTCCATATACAAACACCGGTTATCATTATAGTTAGGTTAAAGTTAGGTGGTGCAACTCAGCCTTAGGCTATAACTTCTAGAACATAGACTAACCAAGTATATTTTTACAGCTGAACTGCCACCTCAAGAGCAGCTGGAAGCCGCCAAGGAGCTCATCAAGGCTGGCATCAAGGAGGGCTACATCAGCCCGGACTACAAACTGGTGGGGCATAGACAGGTCATGAACACCGAATGCCCCGGCGGGGCGTTGTACCAACACATCTCTACCTGGGACCACTTCGTACCCAAATTTGAAGAGGTTAAGAATTAGGTTTTATTTCGTAGGTTTAGGATTTACATTCCAAAAACTCGTGTAGTTTTTTTGACAACATGTTTTTTTGGAATTTGGAAGGCAAGTCAGACCAATTAACGCAATTTTATAGTGAGAAAAAAACCCTATGAATTATAATTTTAATTATACCTCTACATGTTAAAGCCAAAGAGGAATTAATAATGCGACTCATTTATTTACTTATTTAATTTTATTACCGAATTAATACCGTTTACTTTGCCAATTTAGTTTAAGTATACATACTAGAGTTCGGACGTCACATAGTTCCTGTTGATCGAATCATAATATAACTTTGTATTTTTAGAGTTATATCTAGTTTATCTAGCCTAATATTTGCTGATTATAAAATAAACTAATTTTGTTTAGCAATACATTCTTTTCTTATTCCTTACCTCCCACCTCAAAGTCGTAATTTAATGTGGTTCAGCTGACATACCTACTTAAGAACATAGCACACTTAACAACCCGGAAAGGGATCGTAACCGTATCGACTCGAGGCGGTCACTATTCTTTGTATGAAACTCCATACTGCATGCAAATTATGCAACGCACGGCGTTGTCGCTCGTATTCACAAACATTATTATGAAGTTTCACAGTGCGCGTGGACGCACAGGGTGACACATGAACCAATCACAGAGCTCTATTCAACGCTGTGCGTTCGATTTGCTGCTTCACTTAAGCAAGCATCGTTTGTGAATACGGGCGTAATCCGCACCGTAACGTAAACGCCTCGCCTCGCGGTTGACAGCACGCGAAAGGCGATACGGTGTTGAACCCTTTCCGAGTTGATAAGTCTGCTATGACCTTTATTATGGTTAATCTCGACCTTTACCTACTACACCACGGTAGGTAAATAGGCATACCCAAGTGTACATGACTCATACGACGATGGCGGTACTTACCCTTAAGGTACAATTATTTGCAGCATCTGTAGAAAAAGTAAAGTTGCATCTTTAATTACATAATTATATGAGGCAAGTCATTATAAATTAATTGGTATGCTTAAGCCCTTGAAGGGGTAAAGTGTGTTATGATTTAATGATATTATTTCTGAATTGCCTACTGTTGCATACTATGAATCAACTCTCTACGGGTACATAAATTCTGATTCAGGGGTACTTAAGCAAAGTGCAACCTTAAAAACGCCTGTATTTTGAAAGATGGAAGTCCGACTCACTCAGTAATAGGTAGGTATAGTCTAGTCACTTGGTAATTTTACCTAGAAAATTTACACGTAAATCTTTCCACATTATTTCGAACGAAATTACTGGACTAAGTTCGACCTTTCCCGATTTTAATTTGCTGCTCAAATGTACCGCGAAATGAAAATAAATAAGAATGCCAAGACATGGCTTTATAAAGGTGATTGGATAGTGATCATTAGTTTAATAAATAAGCACTTTGGTCATGAACCTGCTCGCGATGGTTTTTAAAATTTTTGACGTTGCGTTCAGCGCTGAATGTAGCAAACTTGGAATAATCATCGGGCACACCTCCCCGCTCGTACCAGAGCGTCGATGTGATGACGTCACGGCCGCCAGGTACGCAGTTAACTTGACCGGGTTTTACATCTGAAACTAGTCTGCCAAAATCAGAAGTACCAGATTTCCACCACTCCATTCAGGCGACAATAAAAATTTACTGGACTATCGGTGCCGTGGAATACATCACATGAAATTACGATAAAATATTAATACAATTATTGTTACTTTAATTTGTATATTACACTTATTAAACAATACCTACATAATTTAAAAAATATAAATCATAATGCCTTAAGTAAATACAGTGTTACACCAAGCACTGAAAAATTAGCTCTTTTTCCGCAAGTAATATAATAGTAGTTTCAAGGTCTAAATAGAACGCTTGACGTGCTATTTGTGTACTTACTACTGTAATCACTTGAAAATGAGAGACAACAATGTTTGACATACAAACATTTATCTGAAAGGATGCATAATTTCCCGTGCATATTTAAGTAAGTTAATGTTTACAAAACGCAGTACTTTCATTTAAAAATATGTAGTTGTTTTATGCTCCACAGGTTTCCAACACAGGCAATGTCTTGCCTAAAGGGAAGTTCCTACCATTATCTGTATATTATTAGACTAAGTTACGAAAATAAATTTATTATTATTATTAGGTTTCGTTACTTACTCGAACTTGGCTGACACGCTACGGCGTGTCTAGATGTAGGTATGTCATACAGTCATACCTAAGTTGTCTCATAATTTCTGAGTCTATGGTCCCAGGCGACTACAAAAGCTCTGCCAAGACTGTAGCAACGAAGAAGAAAAAACCAAGAGTACCTAAGTAGGTATGTAGTTAAAGTTAAGAAACAATATTGAGAAACCGAGAAATGAACTGACTGACATACTTACCTAAGCCCTTACTTATGTCACCATTATGCATATTACCTACTGTAACCTTTAAGATCTACAAAATAATCTTTCATTGAATTAGCCTAGGCGCATACCACCGATTTTTAGTCGGCCGATACTTGGGCCCGATTCTAAATTGTATGAAAAATCAATCGGTCTAATGTGCGCACTTCCATACATGCCCATACTAATCAACTGCCCGACTAAACTATCGGCCGGCGAAAAATCGATGGTCTGCGTCTCGGCTAGGCTTAAAATAATAAGAAAATACCGCTTTCAGTTTTTTTCAGACATGATTCTAATGAGTTTTACATAATTACACTAAATATAAAATTACCTTATAGGTACGGGTACGGCCACATGTGCAAAAGCGAAAACGATTTTAATAAATGGCGTTATAATCAAGTTTTTTGGATGAGATCCAAAATGAAGGGACTTCCCTCGCGATAGTAGGGTTTCCAGGTCTTTAAAAATAGAAAAGTAGGACTATTTAGCAGTTTTACCTTATTTTACTCTATTAACCATAGATAGTTGATGTAATAAAAGTGTGCATTCTGATAACTATGACTTACTGAAAAGTCATCCAACTCATTAAAATAACTTCTGTAATAAAATTGAGTTTAAAAAAATGTTCCTAGAACTTTATCAACATAAGACAAGTGATCAGTAGTCTGCCACTGTCGTATTCGACCGGATACGAGTAATCATTCGTAAAGCCTTTATGTCCTTTTTTATCCAAACGTCTGACAACCCTAATAGACTCATACTGGATAGTTTACATTTAAGATAATGAGATCTTATGTATATTTTGAAATACGAGTACCTAAGTACAGTCAGCGTAAAAAAGTTTGCAACACATCTTTGTTTATTATTAAAAATAGCGGTCGCCCGCGACTTCGTACGCGTGGACCTCGTTTTACCCCCTTAGGCCCTTAGTTCGTAAAATCTGTTGTTAGATATCATGTTGATAGATGGCGTTTCGGAGCTTCCCCCTCATGTATTATTTACGAACGTCAATAACAGTAGTTTGTGCAGCGCTGTAGATTTTAACCAATGACGATAGATGGCGCTTTTTAGGCGTGTTATTTATTTATTGAATTTCTTTTGTCACATATCGTCATAAATTATAGCCTATATGTTAATCTGGGTTATAAAAAATAATACTGTAAAGTTTCAACAAAATCCGTTCAGTAGTTTTTCCGTGAAAGAGTAACAAACATCCAGACATCCACACAAACTTTCGCATTTATAATATTATAAGTAGGAAGTAGGATAAGGTTGTATTGTCAACTTTTTGACACATTTTTTGGGTGTCACAAACTACGTATTTTTTAACACTGACGAAAGCACTCGCGCCACCGAAATTATAATTTGTTGTATGTTGTTTGCATCCTATAGGATACGGTTGCCAAAAATATGACGTCCGATTTCACGCCCATCTTCGATAAAAATAACCTATTCAAATTGCATATTTAGCTCTACTACGACATACGACATCAAGTTTAACAGACATCTTTGTGTAGAATGTAATATGTGCTATTTTGAAAAAGTGTTTAATGGATTGCAACAAAATGATAGGCTTCTCTCCACTCCAGAACCTTGCTGCCCCATCGGCCGTCAGTTCTGGGTACTATATGCCCTGTCCATTGCCACTTCAGCTTGCTAATCCGTTGGGCTATGTCAGCGACTTTACCGAAACGCACCGCGTACTTACCGGAAAACGCAGCGTGGGACGTCCACCCACAAGGTGGACCGACGACATCATAAAAGTAGCAGGAAGGCGCTGGACGCAGGCCGCTACCAACCGGGCAACCTGAAAAGCATTGGGGGAGACCTATGTTCAGCAGTGGACGTCCTATGACTGAGATGATGATGATGATACCAGTTCTCCTGAAGGTTGGCCTTACGACAAAAGTGAATCGGTACTTTTTGAGTAATCGTGCATTATCTTGGGTCTTAGCATCGGATAATAGGATAATGTTTTATAAATAGCATCCAAAGCTATATTTAGATATCCTTCACTATATGATGCAGTTGCATAAAGAAATCATTGCGCTAAAAAAATCCCGGGCTAGATAAAAATCGTTTGATAGCTTTGACTGACTATAATAAATCATGTCGATACTTCCCCAGTCAGCTAGATCGATATGATAACAATGGTTTTATCTGAAACTTACTCATTATAACCTGGTGTAATAAGGGAGCACTTGTGCATAGCGACTATCAGTTGTTTACGTTAGTGTGAACGCAATCTTCATTAGTTAGTGTTTTAGTGTAAACAGTTACGGATACCATTAATTTCTTTTTTCGAGATGCCGGGTCCGCTGCCAGTATGCACAGGTAAGTTTAATATTAATTTTAGTTTTAAATTATGTTTATCATCTGCCAGTATTCATTTATAATATTTTTGAGTAATACACTCGACGTGAAATAAATCGCACCTGACAATTACTTTAAAGATTTTCTTCTGACACAATCATGGTGCCCCAACAATATTGGTGTTATTTGAAAGCCCAATAAATAAACTTAATGAAAAACACATTATACTTTTTTATAAACATTTAACAGGTACCATAAACGTGATTTGAAAAAAGGCCTCATTTCGGGCTCACTCTCGGACCAGTTAGTCCAATTTTTGTGGTTAAAACCAAATAATGATCTTATGTGTCCTCTTTAACAGATGGATAGCGATTACTCCCAATTTTACAGTTTTATTACCACAAAAGTTAGCTTAAAAGCGTAACTACCTGTCGCTTTAAGAAGAGACTCTGGATCCTACTAAAGAGTTAAAGACACATTTCTGGGGTAAAAAAAGTTTAGAACTAGACTATCAAATGGTATCAATATTGGTGGGAAGTGGGGATCCATACGTTTGAAAGTGCTTGTCACGGGAGGTGCGATTTATTTGATGCCGAGTGTATTTTGATAGGTACTTCAAAAACAATTTTGTGAGTTTTATTGGAACCGAAAAGTAGGTACGCGAATATTTAATTCAAAAAAACGATGTTTTTATTTATTTTTCATTTTGTTAATTACACTAAAATGTCAACTGTAACCGTGAAACCAAAATCGTAAATTAAAATGTCATGCATTGGGAACCCCTTAGATTCACAAATGAATGTTCTTTTTGTATCACACTCGGATTATACTCGTACGTACCCTTAAAAGTATTAGGTTTTTCATTTTAGTTTTCCTTAGGTAAATTATTTTTATATCCAACATGATGTTTGCTGGGCAGTTAACGTAAAGTAGGTACTCGTATAGTAAATTATTTCAAGAACAGGGTTTTTTTAATAAAGAATATTATTAATTTGTATCGAAAATCCCTCGTGATAAGTTAATAATCTTGTGTTACTGTCGCCACAATAGTCCAGCGGCGCGCGGAGGGTTTTATAGGTACTACCGTTCCTTCGGATCTCGAGTTGACGATCGACACCTACACCGTTTTTCGCCTTTACATAAATCTCTTGTAATATTTTTCAGATGACTTACACTCCTACAATTTCCCCTTCGTCACCCGTTCCGAGTGGCACGCTAGGGTCCCAAAGTTGACCCTTCCCCTGCCTACCCCCGTGCCATATGTGGTCATCCACCACTCCTACAGCCCGGCCGCTTGTGTGAACGGAGAGCATTGCAGGAGAGCCATGAGAACCATGCAGGACATGCATATGGATGGGCAGAATTGGGGGGACATTGGATATAAGTAAGCCTATTTTTTATTTGGTAGGAAAGACAATTGAAATGAACATTACATTCCTCGCGTATATTTAGTAAAGGAGACAGGTACTTCTTTGCTACCAAAGTCAAGATAGAGACTCCCCAAAATAATGCAGATGGAATCAAAATTAGTAAGTAGCTGACTTATCAATTTTGGCAAAACTGTTTTTTTTATTGCAGCTAAACGTGGGTATTTCACCGCAATCACAACTGATATCAAATGATGCAGTTTAGTGTGGCATTTTCATAAATAAAGTAGTTGATAATTCAATTCGATTAATCAATTGACGCACTTATCGAAAGCTGTCGCGAAATAAACCTATTTAAATTACACAAAATTGCAAATTGCGCAAATGACTATAATAGTCCCGTTAGCCCCTCGTGTTAAGCTAAATAAGTTTGTGTTACGAGTGGGCTCACCACAATAGACGAGCGGCGGCGATGGGATTCGAACCCGCGTTCCTCGGATCTCGAGTCGGCCAGTCCGACCCATTCACCGTTCGGCTATCGTGGCTACAAAATGTCTCTATCAAAATGCTACTTTGCCCGGAGGTCAATCTAAAGTACGGCCAACTAGCAGCGATACCTACAAAAGGTCGATTCGACTGTCGAACTGACAATCTATTCTGTCTCTTCCCATCTTGTATATTTGTTGTAATGTCTCGTTCTCCCGCCAAAATAGGTCAAAGTCAAACCCCTGCTATTCCAAATGAACATGACATTGGGTTTGTTTACATATGGTATCGCTTCTCGTTGGCCGTACTTTAATTTAGCATTGGTCGTTTCCAGCTTTGCAGTGGGCAGCGATGGAATGGCGTACGAAGGCCGCGGCTGGCAAGCCCTGGGTGCGCACGCGCTTCATTTCAACAGCGTCAGCCTCGGCATATGCGTCATAGGGGATTGGCGACGTAAGTTTCTGTTTTCATTTCTTCCTCTTCTTCTAAGTGCGTCTTCAAATTAGACGCAAGGAAGCGCTGCAGTGACGCCACTGGCCGCGCTTGCCGCGCCACTACTAGTTTTCATACAATATCAGACAGCAGCACGTCTTTGTCACATTGTCACTTTGGTAATGGCGCTGCAACTGCGTATCTAAAATTGTATGAAAACTATGAGTTGTGCAGCAAGCGCGCCACAATGCTGTCACTGCAGCGCTTCCTCACGCGTCTAATTTGAAGGCGCCCTAAGAGCCAAAGCACACGATGCGTTGCGGCGGTGTGTAGCTGTGTCGGGCACACGACTTCGCACTAGTGACGAGCGGTGCGGCGCCAATATGCTTTGACTCTCAGTCGTTTCATTCTTGGTAGAGCTCGAGCCCTCGTAGTCACATTAAGGTGTCCACGTCGATTGTAGAGGCGGACACAGCTCAGTGCACGAATCTCCCGCCATCTCTCCCTGTTGGCAAACTGCCTGGTGTAAAAAGTTTTAATTTAGTTACTTCTCTACAGTATACCTACCACGTTCAATAAAAACATTTTCGATCTTTAGCAGATTCTATCGATACTCTACCAATCTTGCGATGTAATGACGCTTTTTATCTTATTTTTATCGTAATATTAATATTATTACGCCATTTTGATGGAATTCCCTATCCCATCAATATCTGATCGATATTTTATAATGAGATGATCTTACGAACCGTATTAGAAACGATCTTCAAAATATAAACTAGCTTTTGCATGCGGCTTCGCCCGCCTGGACTTAAAAAGCAAGTTTACGAGCCCTGAAAAATGATTTATGATTTTTAAATTAGTGTAGGAGTCAAAGTTTCCTTTAATACAAAACAAAATCTACGGTAGAGTCATAATTTAACAGCTCATAAAGTTGTGTCATCTACCTACCCTTTTACGGACTTGAAAATCATTGTTCTTTTTCACGTTCACAGATGATCTGCCGCCAGAGAACCAGCTTGAAACTACCAAGTCGTTGATAGCCGCAGGAGTGGAACTAGGCTACATCAGCCCCGACTACAAACTGATTGGCCACAGGCAAGTGGGCCCAACAGAGTGCCCTGGCGACGCACTGTATGGAGAGATCCAGACGTGGAAACACTACTCACCGCACCCGGCTTCGTGCGAAGACCTGCTATACCTGAAAGAAATATCGGAGAAAGTTAAAGAGGTTATTAGGGGGAATGCTACTTATGATGATTATTATTTCATAAAAAAGGACTGAACATTTAGAATTTTTTTAGGAGAGACCTCGATTTTTCATGCGACATTCAGTGCCGTAACTAGCCTTTTATGCGCCCGGTGCGAAAAATATAAAAAAATGTAACCTTTTTGAATAAAAAGTAACCTTCTACCTGGGGGGGGGGGGGTGCAGAGCGTGCATGAAACAAAACTAGATACTGGTCTGGTCATTTCTGCGCCCTGTGCCTGGGCACCGCTGGCACCGCCCTAGTTACGGCACTGGCGACATTAAATCAGACTGAGTAGATTTTTTTTGGGAAATAGCGTCTAAAACAACTATTATGTAGATGCTACATTGTTAGCAGCTGATGTACGGTTGGCTATAAATTAATTAAATAAAACTATTTAAGTCTAAATTACTAATATTCCAAAATCAATGTCAAGTTTCAAAGATTTACGTAGGTAGCTACTCGTATTATTAGTTACTTACAGCATTTACGGATAGTCAGACATGCTAGTAACTTCTGTCATATTATTTTGCCAAAATATTTAAATTTCATATCAATTAGTTGCTTAATATTAATAAGCATGATTTGGGTTAAATATGTTAAATATTGAAGAAAGAACAATACTTAAAAATTATAAAATTATAATGAAAATTATTATTGGTATAAGTATTATTAAGTAATTTAATAAATTATTATACTTTTGGAACTTTTTATTTTTATTTAATTCACTAAATTCTCATATTTTTTGGTATTGTTTAAATGAAAGATTTGCACCACTGTCGGAACCATACGTCTAAAGCCTCCCTAACCCGTCTGACCAGCGTGGATAAAGTTATAGAGTCGTGTTCCTGTAGTACTAGTAATTCCATCTCTTGTTCAACCCATGACTAAACCAATTGGTAAAAGTAGATTAATCCCTGAGAGTAGCTAATTTAGAACTCACCTTTAAGTTAATTAGAAGAACTTTTTGATAAACAATCTGGGAGCAAAGTAGGTACATGAAACGTTTATGGAATTTTATTAATATCATACTGATGTGCTTTAATTAAGACTGTTTTTATTATTAAATCTGACTGATAAGACTCAGAAAAACTGTGATTGATAATAGCTACTTAAAGTAATGCGCAGAATAAATTAATATTATTTTTTTGCGCTGTACAAAAAACTAATAATCTCATGCAATGATGAATTAATAATGTTCTATTATTAACATCCACGTGTAAAGTAGAACCAGTTTGGTCCTAAATGACAATATTTTATGAGTGCAAGTTACTCTCGCCGCTTTTTGACCTGATCACAGTCCGAGGGGAGTTCCCTCGCTTTCAATGGCTGTATAAATAACTGTATACCAGTTAGAGTAATTTAGTAGTAAGTAAAAACTGAGCGTTGAGTGGCGTCCGGCAACAAAAGGCGTCCTATAGTGCTCAACTTTGGTGCTAGCGTGTGAAAAGTGGACGATACTTGCATCGACTTCAGAAAATTGTGCAGTGTATTACCTAAATCCAAATATACAAGCTTGAAGGTTTTTTGAGGAGAAATATTTACATAGAGGCTACTAGGTACGTAACATTAACAATTTATATTAAAAGGATAAATATTTGTATGAAAGAAACACCTTTACAAGAATACCATTCTGAGCTAGAATAGTAAAATAAATAAATCACAGTTTTTTGAAGCTTCATAATGTCTCTTAAAAATAAACATTGCTATGTGCTCAAAGACAATTTGAGATAATTTAAAATATACTTTTTTCGATATTTCGAACAAAGTTTAAAAATAAGAATTCTTTGCAATTAAATTAAAATACCTATATTACAATCAGTTCGTCCTTCAAGAAAAGGTCGGATCTAATCGCTATAAATCCAACAATAAGAAAAAACCATTAAAACTGTTGCTCTACAAATTACCGTAAAAGATAACTGTATTGATTAACGTCAGATATCTTCGATATAATTAGGTTTATATAATATTACGCGTAACTCAGATCGATAGNACTTAACATTGATAAGAATTTTCATTATCAACGTTTTGCTCACAGTCAACCAGATCACTCCAGGAAGTGCTCGCTTCAAGTCATGCCTTCAATAAATTAATTATTTAAAATTAATTCCAGATTTTTGAAACGTGGACCACATACTGTAGATATGTTTTTGGTTCTCCTGATTTCGCTCGTAAATTTTGTTGGAGATATAATGGGACACCCCACTACGGTTACAGGTAAGAATTGATAAATTATTTTTGTTTAGTTATATTATTTACCCATCATGCATAAAACATTTGGTAGCCCATACATAAAATATTCAATAGTTTGGAAGATAGATCGGGTTTCAACTTAAGTCCAATAAAAAAATCCCAAATTTTTTGCCAAAAATAGCTTAATATTTTGATTTATAAAGTCATCTTAGTTAATCGCTGATTTAAAGTTGACAACAGTGGAATACCTAAATATTTAAATGTCTTTAACGGGTGCCTTAGGTAGGTTTCCGCTAAAGACAAGATAATGCTGAAAAAAAAATTTACTGATGCGATGGACATCATGCTTTTAGACAGTACCTATTACATGTGATGTATGGTAGGTATATTATAGATAGATAGACAATATTCAGAGCCTTTTAGCAAATGACTTTTCATCCATGAAAATAGAAATATTTCTCCTTTAAAAACTATACTAAGTATTACTCGTAGATATAAGTTACCACAATCTCATAATTTTCCATCGATTGAATATGGGTGTGATTTATCAGTATTGAATAGTGCTGTTATGACGATTTTCTGTCCTCTTTTATTTGCACATTTTAGAGAGAGCCAAACGATAGGTAAGGCCACACCTATCGTAACCAATAAAGTAAGTAGGTAACTATGTTAAATTTTAAGGTTCAAGTTATTTCTTATAGCTATAATTTCGCCAAAACTAATTAAGCACGAGGTGTTGAATACCTACTATGATGTAATCTTTTATGTTAAATTGAAGTTGGGGGGCCACGTTTTTTTTAAAACCTTATCATTACATTGATTTTCAAGGCCAAGGAATAATAATCGATGTAGGCTCGTACTTTAATGTGATGAATAAAGTAATATAGGTACATGCTCTATCAGAACGTTATTCGTAGATATAGGTCAGTTACAAGTTTTTTAGTTTTTCCTAAATACATTAAAATATATTTAAGATTACATTGAATGTAATTTATGTAATGTAGCTCAATAGATTCCAAAAATAAACTTATTTCCGTACATACCTACGTGAATAGGCAGGATATAGGTAATGTTGAGTAATTAGGCGATGCATAAATTAAAACAATTTTCCTTCATTTTCAGATACGTCATCAGAAAATGAAGTGCACACATACAACTTTCCTTTCGTCACCCGATCGGAGTGGCATGCGCGGAAGCCGAAGATGACCTTACCTCTGCACACACCAGTGCCATATGTGGTCATCCACCACTCCTATACCCCACCAGCTTGCAGAAGCATTGAAGAATGTGAGAATGCTATGAGAGTCATGCAGAGCATGCATATGGACGGCAGGGGGTGGTGGGATATTGGATACAAGTAAGTGTGTTTTATAAATAGTTTTTGTTTTCTAAAATGTTATCTACCACTCCTTTAAACCCCGCTAGCGCGCAGTCGCAGCACCGAAGAATGTGGGAGAATGCTATGAGAGTCATGCATAGCATGCTAAGGGACGGCAGGAGGACGGCAATATCCCAATTGGATACCTATACCTATGTCTTATAGCGATTTATTTATTTTGTTTTCGAAATTTACTGAAAGGCTCCTGAAAAAAAAAGACGGTACATCTGTGTCTTTTTGTTCTACATTGACTATGTAAGATTAAATCAAGTTAGTAGTCAACACAATAAATATTACATTTGATTGATGCTAAAAATCTTTCACAAAAAATTGGACAGGGTAAACAAGGCAAGATTAAATCAGTCACTTGCCATACGAAAGGTCGCAAAACTAAATCCTTGCCAGATAACACTTATTTATTACGTGAACGTCTTATAAAACTTAAGATTTTAGAATAATAATAAATCTACTTATTATTATTAGTAGATATACGTACAATATGATTATTTTATAATGGCGTTACAGACAGTTAATTGATAGGGATTTTATAATGAAAACTTTTATGACGTACTTCAATAATCTCTATAATAAAAGTATTAAGCCGCGGCTATGGCGTTATGCGAGACTTGACTATCCATACGATTTAATCCTTTGGTCATAGCGGAATTTTTGCCAGGATATTTTGAACTCAATACCGATGGCATAAGTTTCAAATAAACTTTTTAACTATTCAAGCTAAATGGTTAAGTGCCGGTGCATCACGTCACAATATGACGTTAACCAATAGGTAATTACTACGACTATCGTATGAAAGTGTCACACCACTATCACGTAGCTAAGGCCACGGTCATGCCACTAGAATATTATGTAGAAGTAGGTACTAACTATTATGTATCTATTCTACTCGTATGATATATGTAAATACGACAGCCCATTTACCTAAAAATACGTCTATTACTGCCCTGTCGGCCTTTTAGCAAAACCGCCTCTATTATAACTAGATCACTGTAAGGCTGAGTTGCACCACCTAACTTTAACGGTAACTATGACGATTACCGGTGCTTTTTGTATGGAGTTTGACAGCTTTTTGACATTTGTCAAAGTTAAAGTAAGATGGTGCAACCCACCGTAAGAGTGCTTACTTACCTTGAATTACGCTCGTTTTTACCACTTCGTAATTTTGTTTATTCATCCTCATTTTACACGGCGCCTTCTTTCCCAAGTAAAGATTTAACACTGTACGTCCAATAGGTACACTTTGTTGCCTCTTGAATGTTATTGTATATGCCAATTTCTTCCTTTTCCAGTTTTGCAGTAGGCAGCGAAGGCTCAGCGTACGAGGGCCGCGGCTGGAGCACACTGGGTGCGCACGCGCTACACTTTAACAGCGTTAGCATCGGCATCTGTCTTATAGGGGACTGGCGAAGTAAGTTTATTTTTTAATTTATTATTTAGATAATTCATTAAGCCAATCACTTTGAAAATTTTCAATCTGAGCCCAGGATCCTAGGTAATCTACAATTAATATTACATTGAAATGTGAGTCTTTATTTACCATAAAGAACGCGTTCCTAGCTCACGTCAAACGTTGAGCACTTCGTTCTATCGCTGTGATCGCTGCTGTATAAGAGCTGTTTCGTGGTACATATTATTATACCTACTAACTGTAAAACATAAAGCTACCCTAAACAGAGCAAAAAAATTCAAATAAATAGACAGTTACTTTTAGCATTCTCAAACTAAATTTTACTCACGTCATGATTAAACCGATTAAGGTCCAAATTAAAACATACATTAGTACCTATACAAACATGAAAAACATACCTTTTTTATCATTTTCAGATGAACTTCCCCCAGAAGACCAACTCAAAACCGCCAAGGCTTTGATCGCTGCAGGTGTCGACCTCGGCTACATCAGCCCCACCTACAAACTGCTCGGCCACAGACAAGTGAGGGACACCGAGTGCCCAGGAGATGCCCTGTATAAAGAGATCCAGGGCTGGGCACACTACTCCCCGTACCCTGGTTCAGCTACCGACCTGTTAAATCTCCCTGAAATTCCCGAGAAAGTTAAGGACGTTATGAGAGGTAACTCTACGTATGATGATTAGCCATGATGAAGGAGTAGAAAGAATTGGTATGAAACTTATTGAAAGTTATTGCTGAAACTAGAAGATTTTTAGAAGTGGAAGTTACGGGTCGGTACTATTGATTATTTATCTATTATTTTAGAATACATTATTATTTATGAACAAGTCTGCTATAGAAAGTTATCAGAGAAAGGACTCTACTCGTAGACTGTACCAAAAACCGGCAAGTGGGTAGCGCTCGTGACTCGTGTGCAGCCTTAAAAAGAGTGTTTTGACTTACCAAATAGATCTAAGAGTTAGTTTTAGATAAAATTTTCTTAACGCAAATAAAATAGAATCATGATTTTAATGTAACGGATTTCTACTAAACTGTGATGCTAATGTCAACAATTATCTTGCCCTGAAAATTCGTTATTTTCAAATGCTCGTGTAGTTTAATTTTTAGTTGAATTAAGTAATTTTATTAGCAATAATTGTATTTAAATATAAAAATATTCTTACCCACAAATAAACAGTAAGGTTCCTAAATAAATAAGTAGATAATGAATATAGAGAATCTAGTTTAATTCAATTGTAAAACATTTTAACAAATATAAAATGTATGTGGTTGCTATAATTTTCATTAATTTGATTTTAATATTATTTATTTAATAACTACAATTATATACAAATGGAATTAACTGCATGCGATTTCTATTTTCATTTGTTATAAGTGTATAATTTATTAAATGTGTTCAATCATCGGAATGTACATAAACGCATATAATATACATAGAGTCTGTATTTATGTAGATGTCGAGTAAGTATTGGTGAAGTTTTTTATTTAGTTCATAAAAGTATATAAGTTCAGTGGTAGGGTTAGTACTTAGACGTGTAAAAATGCTTTCTAAAAGCATATACTTGCATAAATAAATGAGTTTTATGAGTTTTAAAAGTATTACTTTTATTGACAAATGTATTAACGTGTAAGTATTTTCAATAACAGTTTAGGTTAATGCAAGAACATTTAATTTTATTAATTTCCCATAGTACTCGTACAAATGCTATGACAATGGAGTTTGTAAAAACACTACAGTGCTCAATAAAAAGAAATTTTATACAGATGCATTTTTCATTACATAGGTACTTACCTGTTATTCTCATAGCTGAAACTAGGTAAAACCCTACTCTATTTACGTACTTTTCAAGAGTTGTCAAAACGCTCACTAAAAATTTTATGGTGTAGGTGTAGGGTAAATGTGTAACATTTTAAACTAAAGATAAGAAAATCGATTAAAAAAGTCCCGTATTTTTTTTTAAATTTTATCAATGTTTTGACTGTGGTTTTCACACCATTCCAACATAGGTACAACAAGAAAACACGTATTAAAATGGAAACTCTAATGACAATATGATTGACAAAAAAATAATTGTTGGCCAAAAATAATTATCAGCTAAAATACTTAATAATTGTAACATTTATTTAATTTTATGCAGTAGTATCTCTATTGTTATCAACATAAAAAATGCACAACATTTTTATTAGAAGCAGAATATGTCTAGTAGTAGTTTCTTCTAACAGAGGTGACAGAGTCGGTAGAGTGACTCTATGTAGATTCTTAAAGATTACTAATTTGGCTAGTATTTTAAAAAAGCCATGTGTGCATTAAAAAAGCGATTCGTTACATAAAAGTTTCAAATTTTCAATGAAATTACTTTTGCGTGAAGTATTCATTTATATCCAGGACATGAAAAATAAATATGCTTTACAACAAACACAGAGCGAGGCCCTCGATTTTCCGAAATCTACGGTTTTTTACCACTACGCCGTTACGGAAAACATCATTAAGGAAATCTTAGTATAAATAACACAGCATTGTGTTAATATGACACTAATAGTGGTTTCCTTTTCTAGTTGTTTGTTGCGGAACTATGAGCAAAGAAATAAAAAGAAGAACATTTATTTGATTCTAAACGACATTGTCAAAGTGGGGTGGTAGGACGGACCTAAACAGCCTTATGTCGCAAATTAAAACAAGCAAAGGCAAAGATTTTCTTGAGAGTCTGATGTAAGATGTCAGTAACATTATATTGAAGTACCAAAACATGATTGTTTGAGGATAATTATTCAATATTATTTACTAACTTGCGATAACACAATTTGGCTGACTATAGTTTTATCAATACGTTTTTCTGAGTAACCACGAGTAGTACTATCAACTATTTCCAAGAACTGACAAACAAATTATTCAATGATCAACTAGCCAGGGATTTCACTGGATTCATGATTCACTATTTGTAAATTTACAATAAGGTAACAAAAGTTCCTATTTACCTAAATTTTAATTATACTGAGGTGACTAAAATACTGAGGACAAAATAATGACACGTAAAGGCTACTTATGGGCAACACATTTATTAAGAAATTGTCGACTATTATTAGTTATTAATTTATCTCTATACAGTTAAAGAAATGGGTGATTTTGGTTTTATTATTAGTTCATGACAACTTTTTTACTGAAATAAGAAACACTGTATGGGAACATCTTTACAATATAGAAAGAGAATTCATTATACGTATTAAAATTTCTTTTTTCATTGCTTATTTTAACGACAACGAAGCGAACAATTAAAATAAATAAATACGTAGGTATACATTCATCACATAATACATTTATTATGGTCCGAAAACGAAATTCCATCCATAGTTACAAAAACAAGCTGCATCACGAACAATAATATAATGATTATACTTAAATTAAGTTATTGGTGACAACAACAATTGAAATGACAGTAAACTACGCCCAAAACTGAGCTTTTTTATTGATAGATTTCTAAATACCACTGTACATAAACATTAGGTAAATATTTTTTATTACTTTCTTATTTTAACGAGTGCGAATTTCAAAAATGGTCATTACATGATTCGTACAAACATTTATTTGAAAACATTTAAATCTAGTTTTATATTATTTTTATCAATTTATTTAATATTTCTCTACATTTGACACTAATTACGTGTTTTTAACACAGTCCGGGTGTGTGTAAAGCTTGGCTTGGTTTATCTTTAGGCCTGTCTTGTATTTTAGTAGGTACTAAATTAGTACTAAAATATAAGTAGGTAAGCGTATGACAATCACAATATTAAAATCAGATGGACACCAATGGTTATACAAGCACAGAAAGTCTAAAAAGCCTTAGTAATCAATAACACTATCATATAAAATATAGTATTCAATCATTTAATATAGGATAGTAATAAATAATACTAGTAACATTATAATCCTTGTCTCCAACTATACAAGGTGTTTATTTTAACTGAGTCAGAAATAAATGTGTAGGAAAATTGTTTAGATCTTAAAAAAACAGGAATAAATACTTTTATCAAAAATTTACCACGCCGTCTTCTGAAAACTAACTTTGTAACAAAGTCACATTTATCAATCAATACTACTAGCGCCATCTCGTGGTGTTCGCCTGCATTACCAAGCCACCGCGGATCACCGTGCTTATTGCAAGATCTATTCAGTCTAGGAAATGTTTGCACCGCTCGCCGCTAGATGCCACTAGCACATTGAGAGTCGATTTCTACATCGCGGTGTCCAGATTTTTTTTTCCTTAAAGACCTTCCGACGATTATGTTGAATATTGTGAGAAGTAATAAGCCAAAGTTGTATCCGACTGTGACGTTCTTTAGGGGAATCACAGATTGGGACTTCCAAACGCCTAATTACAAATTGCCAGCGATTCTCCCGCGTCTGTGTCCAACGTCCTTGCGGGAATTGGTCAACGGACGGGAGACTCCCGCACCTTCATTTTTGTACCTGCCCCATACTTTGCAATAAAGTACCTCATTTTTGCATCAACGCGGTGTTGTTATTTGGAGCCCTACACCCCGCTTGTCAGCCGAGAAACTCAACCCTACAAAAACTTTAAACCTACTTACTTTAATAATTTATCATAATGTGAAATACTATTTAACTAAGTGATTTTTCTTAAAAATTTGCTTAAATTCTTCTGACCCAGTTAAAATAATTATTATTTTAACGAGAGAGCTTGACTTAATGAATTAATAAATATACCTCTTTAATGACATAATATTCGATACCTCAACGGAAGCGCTAAAGTCAAAGACTAAATATTTGTTAAATATTGTTTAAATAAAATTTCTCTCGGAATAAATGAGCACAAGTACTTTTGCCATGGACGAAATACAAGAAGCGTATCCTTTTTTATGCGCTAATTTAATAATATTTTTAAAAACACAATTTGAGTGTTGATAAAAATTAACGGTAGTAAAAGTAGGTACATAATTAAATTAAAATATAAATTAAGAGAATGAATAAACGAATTTCATAGAATTAGGTGTATTGTATAGATTTTACTTAAAATTGTAGTTTTTACATCAATGTTATCAATAGAAATACCGTCTCATACAGGGTTACTAGTCAATTTAATACATCGCACCGTGGCGGGGATGGGAAAGGTCGATATCTGTTTCCAAAAGTGGATATAAAACCTTGTTTCGAAAGCTAAACTGTTTTAGTTCACAACTGAAAGGTACTCTGCCAAGTCTATCATTTATCTACAATTTAAAATTTAAACATGAATCTACATTACAACATGCTATATCATAATTTTATTTTATAAACTTTACCATTCTTTTGAATAAAATTTCAATCACTTTTGGCAAAGACGTATGTAAAATATATTTTGCTATATTAATATGATAAGCACCTACAATAATTTAAAATTCTCTAACGTCATGCAGGTCAACAGGGAATATTACGCTTTTACTTAAGTGTAAAGTAAATGAAACTTCACTTTAGGACAAGGCACGGGAGGAAGATAGGTTTAAGATATAAGGTGATCATAATAATTTTACAAAAAATATAAACTAAAAAATAAAAAAATATTTTTGGGTCGCTAATGGTTGTATAACTAATTTAATTTATGTATGATGATTGATGATATAGCTGATATCATATAGGTATACCAATTTTTCAAATAAGGATTTGAATCACATAACGTAACGAATATAAAGTAATCTAATACATTTTCCAATTACACAATAAAAACTCTAAAAGTCTAATCTTTTCATATGCAGATTTTTCATTTCACCCTGTATAAACAGCTATGATGATAATGAAGCATAATTCATAAAATATGTTTTTAATATTTTATTTTGTAAGTCAGAAATCGTAATACATCAACACCTGTATTTTATCAAGATATGTTATCAAAAAGTTTATTTCAATGATTTTAATCATTATTTTATTTATTCATTATTTGTGAATAAAAAATAAATGTACCTCAAGTATTAGTTTTAAAACATTACAACGTGAAAGTAACGACATAATAAATGCTTCGTATTTATCATTTGAAATTATAAATCTCAATAATAAAGAAACTTAAACTTTTAGGAATGGAGGTAAATTCCAATACAGTAAAAAAAAATAGTTTTTAAATTTTTCTTATAGGAGTAATTTTTAAATATTTATGAAAATATTTTAATATAAATGGGTAGGTTTAATATTATAATTATTTAATTTGATAAATAATGTTTGTAAATAAATCATTAAAGTGTTATGTACTTATAGTTATAACATATTGATAATAATAATATATATTTTTTTTAAATACAATAATCAATAACCTACATTGTACAATCAGCACACGATAATAATATGAACGCACATTGAAATAAATATACTTTCCGTAAGTATACAATAATAAATATAACATTTAGTCTTTTTATAGATATTTGTATTAAATTCAAGATTTACCTAACTAATTAATATTCGTATAATAAATAAAGAAATTATCATTTTTATATATTTGTAAAAGTTTGCACTCGCCAGCACATCCGGACTATAAATTTTTATTTAAAAATCGCACTTATTACAACTACATTCTCAAGATTCCATACTGTTAAGCTTGATGTGCCGTCATCCGTGGTCATACAACACGTTGTCGTTAGTTCGACACCAGACAGTAATGGAAAATTGTTGGTAGGATTTGCAGGATAGGGTTTTAAATCTAATAGAGATCCGTCGGTAGGACGCGAATAGGCGACATGACCCTATTGAAGCGCGTCGCATTCAATTGTTACAAAAATATTTACACACATTTACTTGTTTTAGTGGTGTTCCTTTGACTTTATGATACTTTCCTAAAATAGGGTAAACATGTCATGATAGATGCCATCGTTTCAAAAAAATATTTTAGACAGTTTTTTACAGGAGTGATTTTTAATAACAGAGGGTGATGTTGAATAGTGTTAAAATATTTCTGTATTCTCTTAACCTTCTGTGTACTATTAAATAAGTATCTATCTCGTATGCGTCACGATATTGATTTATACCATATCATTGGATTCATTGCGACAGTGACATTGTATAGTCATGCAATTACCGGTGGCCTAGTTAGCATACATCTAGATCATATTGCATTACCTATTCCGGACCTTATTTGTTCTCAATTAGAGTCTGAACTTGCAGAACAAGGTCTCTCGCTAAAGCCAGTACCGCGGAAGCGTCGTGCCGCTCTGCCATCTCTGAAACAACAGTCTATTTTAATGTACATTCGATAGCACATCAGACTACAAATTTTTGTTGCAAAATAGCCTGTATCACAACGAAATAAGACGTCACTGTGTTTACCTTGACGTGCTGCTGTCCGGTCATTTTATTTATAAATGCGGAGTAATTACGCTAGTTCATTCAGAACGTAATTTGTTGGGCGGACTTCCTTTGTCTTAGTAGTTTTGGTGAATAAGATAAATGGCAATATATTATGATAATGAGCAGCCAATAAATTATGATGGGCGTTTATAATCAGACAACAATGAAGACAGATAGCTGCATCACAAGATTTTAGAAAATTGCGTGTAATATCTTCACCAGACTACTACAACTATACCTACTGGAATGTTTGATTTGTGCCATGGGTTTTTCATGACCTTCAAGAACTTTCCTGGAATATCCAGGTCATCGTCATCATATAATTTTTAAAAGTATATTTTTCAATTTTTTATTATCTGAAAAAAATATGTCTGTACCTTAATTGGTTGGTTGTCAAGCTACCTAATAGATATTAGCTACACAGGAGTTGCAGCGGTGAGAACGAGAGTCGGAATAGTCCCGTTGTCGCCTGCACCTGTACATCTGTCACTTGCAACTTACCATTGAAAAATTTGATAATGTCAGTGAAGTCCATGGTGTTGGCCAGTATGACGTCACGATACGTCTCCAGCAAGGCCAGTGCTATGAACAGCACCATGTGCTCCGACGCCACGTGCCTCGCCGCCCATATCAGCTCCCATGCTGCAAACACCTGCAAAAAAAATTGTGATATTTCACTACAATTTTCTGTATCTCTCACCAATATGAAATGTGTTGCCAGTGATAACTTGGAACGGAGACGTGATCCCTTACCATAAACCTTATAAGTAGGCTCAAGGTCACCCAAAAGGCGATGGAGCGTAACTATGCTCAGAGTTTCCAGAAATCCGTTGGAAAACCAAAGTAACCACTATACAGGGTGGAAACGTTAAGTGATCTCACTCGACTATTTCTAAACTATACAAGATATTGAAAAACTGGTTACTGATCCTGAAAGTGCTTCATGAGCTCTTTCAAACGGTACCAATAATATAGGTTACAGAATAAACTGGTCTATTTGAAAATTCAATGTTTCCACCTTCCATACTAAATGTATGCCAGACACACAATATTACAAGTGTGTTTTTTTATTGAATAATAAACTCTTAAAATAAACTCGTAAATTATATTCTTCTTTAAAATTATTCATGGAAAACATTCGTTTTAGGCTTTACTTGCTATAATATTGTCAAGAGATGAGTGTCATGACTGTGGTAGTAGTTAGTACTAAATGTATGGAAGACGGGAACATTGAATTTTTTGATAGATCCCGTTTATTGTGTAACCTAATATTGATACCATTGGATAGAGCTTGTGAAGCACTTTTAGAATCAGTAATTAGTTTAACGAAATCATGTGTAGTTTTTAAAATAATGTGACTTTACCAAATGTATGGAAGCTGGAAACATTGAATTTTCGGATAGATCCAGTTTATTCAGAAACCTATTATTAATACCATTTGATAGAGCTCATGAAGCACTTTCAGGATCAGTAACTAGTTTTATGATATCTTGTATAGTTTAGAAATAATCGAGTGAGATCACTTATCGTTTCCACCCTGTATTAGTACCTACCACAATAGTTCTCGAGTGGCAAACACGGACCGAAAAACGTGGGATTCGGTGGATCGACGATCTGGTGAAGGTTGCTGGTAAAACCTGGATGTGGGCAGACTGGTCGTTCTGGAAATCCATGGGCGAGACCTTTGTGAAGTAGTGGACGACATAGGTTGAAAACTTAAAACGAGAGCATTACTCAAAGATAACTTACGTCCTGGTAAAGCAGTTCCCGCTTGAAGTCCAGCAGGAACCAGCGGTAGCAGAAGTAGAAGTGGGTGTAGTCGCCGTGGGCATGCATGAGCTCATATAGCTCACAGTCGAGGATCTGGATCAGCGATCTGTAAATAAAAAATAATTTACTTGCGTCCATAGCTTGTCTTACCTCATTTCCTCTTACATCAAAAGGATTGCCAAATTAATATTTGGTGAGCCAACTTCTTCTCACTTCATATCAGAGAAGTCCTCATCCATATCACTTGCTAAGTAAAAAATAAAACTTTTCACCAGCAGCGAACGAACGAACCTGATATAAGCGAAGTGCACGTCCTTGGCCTGTCTCACCTCATATCCGCGAAATGCGAGTCCATGGCCTGCCCCGAGGGGAAGTTGTCCCGCGCGCGGTCCATGAGGCGCGCGAACAGCGCGTGCACCGCGGCCTCCTCGCGCATCGTCACCAGCAGCGGCGCCGCCAGGTCGCACATGCCCTGCATGTAGCCCCTGTCCAGTGCTCCTATCATCATCATCATCATTTCAGCCATAGGACGTCCCCTGCTAAACAGTGGTGTCCTCCAATGATTTCCACATCGCCAGGTTGGTAGCGACCAGCATCCAACGTCTTCCTGCTACCTTTACGAGGCCGTCGGTCCTCCTTGTGGGTGGATATCCCACACTGCGTTTTCCGGTACGTGGCCTCCACTCCAGAATCTTGCTGTCCCATCTGCTGCCAGTTCTGCGTACTATGTACCCTGCCAATGAGTCTCATGATCCTTCTCACCTCATATCGGCGAAGTGCGCGTCCATGGCCTGCCCCGGGGGGAAGTTGTCCCATCATCATCATCATCAGCTATAGGACGTCCACTGTTGAACATTGGCCTACCCTGTGATTTCCACATCGGCATCGCCAGGTTAGGTGGCATACGTCTGTCGCCTTCCTGCTATCTTCTGGATGGACGTCCCACACTGGCCTCTACTCTAGAATCTTGCTGCCTCATCGGCATGCCCTGCGTACTATGCGCTCTGCTCATGTGTCTAATGAACCTCACCTCATATCCGCGAAGTGCGCGTCCATGGCCTGCCCCGAGGGGAAGTTGTCCCGCGCGCGGTCCATGAGGCGCGCGAACAGCGCGTGCGCCGCGGCCTCCTCGCGCATCGTCATCTGCATGTAGCCCTGTCCAGTGCTCTTATCATCATCATCATCAACTACAGGACGTCCACTGCTGAATATCCCCAATGATCCTCATCGTCAGGTTGATAACGGCCTGCATCCAGCGCCTTCCTGCTATCTTTATGGGGTCGTCAGTTTACCTTGTGGACATCCCACGCTGTATTTCCCCGTACGTGGCCTCCACTCCAGAACCTTGCTGCCCCATCTGCTGCCAGTTCTGCGTACTATGTGCCCTACCCATGTGTCTAATGCTCCTTCTTCTCACCTCATATCCGCGAAGTGCGCGTCCATGGCCTGCCCCGAGGGGAAGTTGTCCCGCGCGCGGTCCATGAGGCGCGCGAACAGCGCGTGCGCCGCCAGGTCGCACATGCCCTGTCCAGTGCTCCCATCATCAGTTGCTAGCGACCTGCATCCAGCGCCCTTCCTGCTACCTTTTGAGGTCGTCGGTCCACCTTGTGGGTGGCTGACGCTGCGATTTCCAGTACATGGCCTCCGCTCCAGTACCTTGCTGTCTCATCAGCCGTCACTTCTCCGTACTATGTACCCTGCCAATGAGTCTCATGATCCTTCTCACCTCATATCGGCGAAGTGCGCGTCCATGGCCTGCCCCGAGGGGAAGTTGTCCCATCATCATCATCATCAGCTATAGGACGTCCACTGTTGAACATTGGCCTACCCTGTGATTTCCATATCGGCATCGCCAGGTTAGGTGGCATACGTCAGTCGCCTTCCTGCTATCTTCTGGATGGACGTCCCACACTGGCCTCTACTCTAGAATCTTGCTGCCCCATCGGCATGCCCTGCGTACTATGTGCCCTGCTCATGTGTCTAATGAACCTCACCTCATATCCGCGAAGTGCGCGTCCATGGCCTGCCCCGAGGGGAAGTTGTCCCGCGCGCGGTCCATGAGGCGCGCGAACAGCGCGTGCGCCGCGGCGCCAGGTCGCACATGCCCTGCATGTAGTCCCTGTCCAGTGCTTCTATCATCATCATCAACAGCTACAGGACGTCCACTGCTGAACATCCCCAATGATTGCCTCATCACCAGATTGGTAGGGGTCTATATCCAGCGCCCTTCCTACTACCTTTATGAAGTCGTCGGTCCTCCTTGTGGGTGGATATCCCATGCTGCGTTTTTCGGTGCCTACGTGGCCTCCACTCCAGAATCTTGCTGCCCCATCAGCATGCCCTGCGTACTATGTGCCCTGCCCATGTGTCTAGTGATCCTTCTCACCTGCACCCAGCGCCCTTCCTGCTACCTTTATGAAGTCGTCGGTCCTCCTTGTAGGTGGATATCCCATGCTGCGTTTTTCGGTGCCTACGTGGCCTCCACTCCAGAACCTTGCTGTCCCATGGGCCTTCAGTTCTGCGCACTATGTGTCTACTGATCCTCCTCACCTCATATCCGCGAAGTGCGCGTCCATGGCCTGCCCCGAGGGGAAGTTGTCCCGCGCGCGGTCCATGAGCCGCGCGAACAGCGCGTGCGCCGCGGCCTCCTCGCGCATCGTCACCAGCAGCGGCGCCGCCAGGTCGCACATGCCCTGCATGTAGCCCATGTCTAGGTGCTCCCATACGTATCTGGAGAACCAAAGTAATGTACGACTTCCACATCGGACTGCTTGATTTAGTTCACATTGAAATCCTGATTTAGTATGTAAATTATACTGATACGTGGTAGTGCAAGCTATATTTCAGACATGTATAAGTGAGGGCACCTCACATGCCTCAAATGTAGCTGCCCCACCACCACTTTGAGACACCACTGAAACGAAGTGACGAAAGAATCGATAACTTTCTTCAATTCTTTTTTTTTTCGATATGATGTACTATCTCTTTCATAGGAAACATCATTAATTGATTGCTACTTACGTGCACATAATATTCCTGAGCTTGTCAAGGTTCTCATCGGTGAAGAACGGGTAGTTCCTATCACAGCGCTGCACATCTTTTTCTATGCGGTGCAAATTCAACGCGAAACTCTCCACCAGCTCATTCTACAATCAAATAAAGATTATTATGACGTAAGTATTATGACGTAAGTCTCCAACCCGCCTGCCAAGCGTGGAGATTATGGCAAAACCCTCCACTATAGTGGAGGAGGCTCATAGTCCAGCAGTGGACTGTAAAGGGCTGTTGATGAAGTATTGTGAATACCCAGCTATGGTAGTCCAGAAGTCTGGTCTACTCGTGTAAACCAGTCTTCTATAAATCATAATTTGGGAACATATTCATTTGGGATCTTCATCTGAAAATTCTTACCGAATAAACGCCACCATTAGAGCTAGCAGGGGACACGCAGTTGGACCTCGCTTCAGGCCTTTGGTCGCCCGCCGGTTCCAAGGTATCGAACGAAGCACCCGCTGAATGGGACTCTTCTCGGACCACACCAAGGGGACTGCGAGCTGGGCTCACGTTAGCTGAAAATGAGCAATGACACGCTAGGCTATAAACAATATGTGGCTCTCATCACACCAATAGTCATATTAATGTAGGGACTTCCTTTTGTGTTAGGAGTACCTCAGTCGATTAGATTATTGCCAAGCCCCGATTTTGCAAATGAAAAGGTGACCTACTGATTAAGTCTGCTCTCCTTCGCTATCAGGGCAATTATAACTATGAAAGCTTTCAGACTAGAAATTACAGTTGCTTTAAAATTTTACCATAACATAATCAGCAGTTTTCCGAATTTTCCATACAAATTTTGGATGACAGTTCTGATCCTTTTGTTGTTATGTTTATCATTCTTACCTGTAGTGCCACCAGACGCAGGAGATCCCGAAGCAGCCAAATCTACTGATGGATTTGTTATAATCACACTCGTATGCTGCTGGACTGGACTTTGCTGTGGCTGGGCTTCATCTATCGACGACCTTAAATCACTGCCGTTTAGGTTCATATTCGCACTATCCACACTACACAATAGTCCTCTCCCATCGCCTTTCTGAACTATACCTTCCGCTAATCTTTTTATCTCCGCTATGCTCTCTCTTCTCATATCAGGATTTTCTACAACACTCTTAATATGTACTTCTTCGTCGTCGTCTAAGTCTTTCAGACTGTCTAAATCTATATCCCTACTATCACCCGTCTCAGTCTCTCCGTTAACTTTTGTATCATCCTTCTCTTTTTCTGAGTCCATCTCGATATTATCCACTTCATCTATGCTCGGGGCTCGTGAAAGGACTGGTTTGACGTCAGGCCTCTTTTGGTCAGTTTCACTTGGTTCGGGCGAGACGATTGGTGGATTATCTGATATGACGCTGCAGTCGTCTTCAAACACCTACAAAATTCAAACACGTGAAAATTGGTCTTTCAACCTAAGGCAAGAAATAAAAAGAGAAAGCAGTAGGACACAAGAGGTAAATATAGAGACAAATAAGGCTAAGTTATACCACCTTATTTCAGTCGGGACTGTAACCATGACCAGTGTTTTTGTATGGAGTTGTACAGACTTTTGAATTTGTTAATGCTAAAGTAAGATGGTGCAACCCAGCATAATTATGCGTTTGTTACGGTGGGGGTACTGACTTCGCAAGGTTCTGAGGTATCCACTGGTTTCGGCTTCCCCGAAGCCTCAGTGAGCCTGGCTATCGAGGCAGCAGTGGCCTCGCGGTCGCGCTGCCTGACTATCGCTTCGACACACAACCACTCCGACATCGTCGTTTCATACTGCCGTCTGCATGCTGCGTCTTGTTCTATTCTCTCTTCTGCTGTTGACCCGAATCTAAAAGGATTTAAATCTTTCAGCTACTTCTTTATTAAACTACTGCTTCCAGGGTATGATTATTTGTTTTACCTAGTTAGATATTTTTTTGCTAGTGTAGTCAGTTCTTATGTGGTTTAAAATACAGAGTAGGTATCTAATCAAAACAAATAGAGCAATACTGATTTCTCTCTGATTCTTTTATTAAATTATCTTTGAAGTTCATAAGTGTCAAAATCTTGGTCAAAATTAAATAAAATATTTTTGATTTGATACGATTTGATTCGCTCTGTCAAACCATTACAGATGTCTATAGGTAACTCTCAGTCAGATACTGTCGCAAACTTACTCATAGTAGCCGAGGAGATAAGGCCACACTTCCCGCCTGATTTCGTGCTGCACGCCCTTGTAGTAGACCAGTCTGTACACTTCGTCTTTGTCAGTAACCGCTCCTCTTTCATCTGTCATGGACTTCCATAATTCTTCTGTTAGGCCTGTCTCTGTGCCCTCTGAAATTATCAATAACTAGCTGACCCGGCGAACTTCGTACCGCCTTAGCGTAGAGATTTTCTTAATATTTTTTTCCGTAAGAACCATCCTTGGACTTCCACAAACATTTAAAAAAAAGAATTATCGAAATCGGTTCAGCCGTTCACACGTGATGCCGTGACAACGCGAAACGGGTTTCATTTTTATATATATAGATAATGGGATAATTGTTACTTCTAAAACTATATCAGTTCATCAGCTTCATTTAGGAGCAACCAAAGACAGTATAAGAAATAAAGTAGACACCCTTTATTGACTTACCTATAGGAACTATATTCGGATGAACAAGTCCACTGAGATGCGTCCGAACAGTGGACAAGTGTCGGCAGTAGGCGAGCCATCCATAAAACGCCCGCGATATTATCTGGCGGCGCATCGTACTGCATACTAGCTCAATGGATGCAGGCTAAATAAATCAGTTGTAATATTGTAAATAGACAGTAATAATTAAAATGTTTCTTTTTATGAAACACCACGATGGGCGCCAAGTTTTAAAAGTGGCGCCCAACGTGTGATTTAAAAAAATAACGTATAAGTTATGGATCACTTCTATGAATTTACCTGTTCCATTGGCTGTGGTGGTGGCACAACCTGTGGTTGTACTCCATTGTGACCGATTGGAGGAGGACAGTCCACTGACATTGTAGATGAATCTGATGATGTTGTGGAGGTTGAAGCAAGTGGTCGACGAGGAGTCCGCGGGGGTGACGACACTGCTCGCTCGAGGAGGGAATGTCGCATTGCTGTTAAAAGAAAAACATTCAAGATGTTCTGATAGCTACATGGACTCAGTGTTGCCACCTTGGTGGTTTTACAACCAGAACTGGCGCTTTCTCAGGGCTCTTGGTGGTATGTTTCCATTACCTAGAGTTTTAATTATTTCTGGTGGTTTTTGACGGTTTTTTAAAATGGTTTTTGGCGGTTTTTCAATATGGTTTTTAGGTCCAAATTAGGTTAGCGCTTTAATAAAATCCGAGGTGGCAACACTATACATGGTGGGTAGATGCAAGAAAGTGAACCAGCTATTGTAAATACCTTCTCTATCCGTAATAGCATTGTTGACGATGCGAAATACATAGTCGCCAGCGGCTTCTTCCCACTCAGCCTCTTCTGTTTCTCCGCTCTCACAGAGGCTAGGCAGAGGACGTCTACGAATTTTGCCTCGTCCGAAGACCTGAAAAATCATTACAGTAGCTTTAAAAAAACTTGGTTGAAATGATTGATACTCCATCTAAAGGACATGCATAAACATTTTACCTTTCCTGTCCCTCTTTGAGACCATAATGGTGGATCAAGTTGTCCGTGCGGTAGTAATCCAGTTTCTAAATTGCTTAGAAATGATAGCAGATGTCCTCCTGCAAGCGAAAAATACTGATATGAAATAGATACATCAACGTACGACGAAACGATTGGAAAATAATAGTGTATTTAGGAAAGACTATGTCCAATATTTCAGAGAAGAGAATAATCAAACTATTTGTTCGGGTCACGATTGATTCATTTCAGAAGCAACCAATGCCACCGACCAATTCGACCGGCGCCACGGCGACCTCATAAAGGTAGCAGGATGGCGCTGGATGCAATCCGCTACCAACCGGGAGATGTGGAAATCATTGGGGGAGGCTATGTTCAGCAGTGGACGTCTTGTAACTGAAATGATGATGATGACTTATAAAATTGGTTTTTAAAAAGGCAGATGTGCTTTTTAAAAACAGTGGTTTTCGTACAGAATTCAGTTAGAATTTACATCGTAGGTACCTTTGGGGAAGTGGATGGGCGGGCGCTGCACGCCGTCCTGGCCGACGAGAATGAGCGCGTCGCTGGCCTGCGAGCGGTGCACGTGCACGTACACCACCTCCCACACGCACACTTGCAGCGACATCGCCCAGTACACGCTGGAGACACAGAGATGACTTGTTTTGTGATGGAACTAAAGCAGTACCTAAATAGGCACGTGACTATAAAATCCTCAGCACATAGCTGTTGCGAAATAGTACCTATTACAATGACGTCCGTTCGAATACTGGTTACTATTCGAATGTATAACTCACTTTAGAACCAAAAATTTTCACGGTGCCTTTGTTCTTCCTTTCTTTCTAAGTTTATAAAGCGAGCGGATTTACCACATAAAATTCCTAACAGATTTAGTAGTCTTCTATGGATGATATTATTGAGTTAAAATTTTCTTACTTAGAAAGTGAATAAACATTGTACTTACCTACCTTATTTTACTAAGGGGTAAACTCTAGCATGCCAAGAAACATCTAAATGAGCTAACTTTAGATGACCATACCTTCAGTCCTCCATGTAGCTTGTACAATGAGAATTTATGACGTCGTCAATTAGAGCCGCCTGTAGACAGTGCACAGGGTCACCACCACGCTGCTTAGAGCACAGGTACTTTCCAGGACTTAGAGATTGCACATAGGAGAATCGATGTTTGATATCCTTGTTCCAGAAAAACTACCACAACTCACCAGTCAATGCAGTGTTTCAGCACAAATTAGTTCATTTTACGGGGTAGCACTGTTTGGTGCACAGGTGTGCTCCTGGGCTTATACTTGCACGATATTCGTAACATAACTTACCAGTCGATGCACAGTGGTCCAGCACAGAGTCGCCTGTAGACAGTACACGGGGTCGCGCTGCACAGAACACAGGCACTTTGGCAGGCTGACGCATGCACAAGGTGGAAGCGGAGCAAACTACACATAGACAACAAGCTGGCGCTCTTACAGAAGTAAAAGTGGCAACGGAATATACAGCCTGTACACATAAAGGAAGAGGTGTAAATGGTGTACTACTACTAAAAGCAATAAAGAACAATATGAGTTTAGATAATTCACTCACTCGTCGATACACATCTGCACAAGATTGATAAAAACTTACATATAAATTCATATTATTTACTATATAAAAGTCCCGTTGAAGCCTACTCCAAAAAATCGGCAAGAAAAGATAAACAAAACTTCGTACCTACTTTACGTCCCGACATTGAGTTTTAGATCTGGGGCTCGATAAATAAAGGTGTTGTTGGAAACAAGAACTCGCAAACAACAAAGTAGCTAGTCTACACATTGCCTACAAATGTTGTGTAAATATTTTCTAATCAAACATCATGGTTTAATAACTACGCATAAAATATTACCAGTGTAAACTTTAATCCACACAAAACTACTGACTACAATACATATTTACCTTGCTCTACATAGCAGCTAATTTAGTAAAAAAACATAAATAAAACAGCAACAATAAAAATATGTTTTAACTAAAGCCTGTTTGTTACCTTTTATCAATTCCTTCGCTCTCCGCGTAACCATTCATGAGTTGGTTAGGAGTCCATTTGATGACGAGACCGGCTGCGGTCTGGTGCAGGCTCAAGTAGCCTGGCATGGGTTCTTCTACGTCTTTCTATAGAGGAAATTAAAAAGGTATTTGCAATAAAAGTCTTCTGTTTTAGGAATTAAGGTTCAAAATCATTTGGGCATTTCTATTACATCGAAATGGCTTACCATTACTGTGACACTCTAAATGGGACTCAAGTTAATGCTTACCGGTTGTACTCTAACATTATTTTTGCCATACAAAAGTGTAGCTGTTGAATTCTGATGTAAACTTTCCACGTAGTCCTTTGCCGTGGATCCACCAGTCTTTCCAGAACCTATAATTACACAATTAACATTATAAGTAAACACAGTCATTGGATGTCCTTAAGATATTATAACGTGAAGAAGACGTGTCAGGTAGGAAAATTATTTCTACAAGTGACGGAAAGCAACGCGATGGAAGCAGAAAGTCTGTGGTCATGCATATTTTCTACTTTTTGTTTTTACCTTTTCTGAAATCTAAATCTCAAGTGGAATTTAAATAAATATGCCGCCTGGCAACGTTCCGCTGTGTTTCTCACTCCCGTAGTGATAATGTGTTACCCGGTGACATGGTGACAAGGGCGACCTAATATTGCATCCTACACACGTTTACGTCGCGTAACGTTGCGTGGCGACATAGTTCACTGCGTTAGCTGTTATAATAATATGCTAGCTAGCTAATGGTCCTAGTAGAACTTAAATAAATCAAATAGTATTTCTGCTCATTCACCCGTGTTAACCGCACCGCTGTCGTCAGAGGAAGCGTTCAGGCTCCTTCTGAAGTTCAGTATCGGTCTTCTCACAGAAGGTGGTGTGGTGGTGCCGGCAGACATGCGATGTCTTTGTACCTGGAAATAGAGTTATTAAGTTTTTTTTGTCTATTAAATATTTGACCTACTGTCTCTTACGATAAATTATGGAATACCCAAAATTCAATAAATTGCCGAAACAAGACGAACGACATGATGAGCAACACACATTAGTAACTGGATTACTAATGAATAATGTTAAAAAAGCTTTTTGTGCCAGACTGAAATCAGGCAGCAGTTGTAAAAATAATTTGTTGTAGAAATCCTACAATAAATGCAGGGATGAAAACATGAGGTTAATACCCTCATGTTTTCATCCCTGCATGCGAACCACGTAGCCCTTAAGATGTAAGTTATTTTAGGGCGCCAGTGAGAGACTAAAAACACTCGTTTATTATTGCGGACTACTTTTCTTGGGTCAATATCCTCTATCATGTGGGTACATTTATCTCTAGGGAGACAGTGTGTTGTGAAATATGACCACTGACGACCTATTTATCCAGGCGATAGTCCTTTTTCCTGTTACCAAAATAAGTTATTTTTTATCCTCATCAAAATGACACTAACTATCTTCACAATTTTTGATACAGACCTCTTCATCATCTCGTAGCTCTACACTTTAAAGTATCTATAATATCATTATGTTAATGATGCATAAGATGACTAATGCATATTATGCATAGGCACTATGTTATTTTAAATATGTATTAATACGCAGCTTGTAACAGTGATGCATGATAATGTGGTTGCAACAGCTAACTGACAATGGGCTTCTAATGAGGGCTATCGTTTTTATACTCAACAGTTGGCACCCCTGGCGATTGACAGGACCTTACTCTACAGTGGCGCCATCTTGATGAGTGCAAATACGATAGTCCTCCTACCACTTTCGCGCTCACCAGTTGGTGCCACTGTCTTCGCTACTAGCAAGTGACAGGACCTTACTCTACAGTGGCGCTAACTGGTGAGCGCTAAAACGATAGCCCTCATTCACTTACTATATTGTATAAATGGGTATATGTATTGGTCGGAAAAACGGTTTAACCTACACCCTGAGGCACGCAATCATATTTTTTTATGAAATCCAGATGTATCAAAGCCTGAGATTCCCTGCCTAAACAAGGAACAACAAATAAAAAGTCCATGACAGTTTACCAGTTCATCCGCTGGTGGATCAGTCCAGAAGCACGCCGGGGCCTTCGCCTTGGAATACTCCAAAGCACAAGGTCCGACAAGCAACGAGCTCAGTAAGCTCCCGTACTCCGGGTCAGCCACCAGAGCATCCCGCTCGTAGTACCGGGTGGCGTTGTTCACCAGGTGCTCGATGATCTTCGCTAGTTGCCTCTCGAATAACGCTATCCGGATCCAGAGGTATCTGCAAAGAAGTTTTTAAACTGTTAAAGGTGTTCAACAAGTCTGAGCAATGAGATGGTCTAGGATGGTGCTATAAATGGGTTCTTCCCAAAGGTCCACGGCTCTATTGTTCTTCTTTTCCATAGGTGCTACCTATTACAAACAACTACACGTCTTATCCTTATGTGCTGACGTAGAAATATGTAGATACAACCAGTAGTTTTAGGAACGGTAACAGTATACGCTATCCCACTCGTATATTGAACTGTTATTGTTATTATAACACTTCTCCAATTGAAGCCAAGTTCTCGAATTCTTGTATAAATCATTATCCTTTTCCTAAACAATACGAATTAAACTCAACCCTAAACCTGAAATAATTTACGCCCCAAATCACCGCGTAATTGTGTAAATTCGTTTTCTTTTGATAGAATAAACAATGGGTAATATTTTGCCGGTACAATATTACGGTTCACTTAAATCAGAGGCTGCGATATCACGAAACAAATGGGTCAGGTGCTGCGTAGACACGGGAAAGTAGAATAATAAGTCTGGTTCCTTATATAACAGGCAAATATCTTTGTTTTTTTAGATATAAAAATATAACACAGGGTGAACAGACAAAAACAAAGGCAAAAAAAAGACATACAGCCGAACATAATTATAACCTCCTCCTTTTTTGAAGTCGATTAAAAAACAGACAAAGGTGACTGAGTTTCTTCCCATATGTTTTCCCGAAGTCGTGTGTAAGTGCTCTGAAAAGGGCCTCTCGTACTGTATAAATAAACTATTTAAATTTGAATAACCCTCTTTCTGGCGCAGTCGGGTAAACACATCAAAGATACATGCTTAGGCATGGTTTCTAATTTGAGATTTTTGACTTGAGTGCGCTTATCTTCAACTTAAGTAGCATGAATTTATGGCTATAAGTAGAAAATGAGCACCCTCAAACCAAACATCTCAATTTTGAAACTAGAGGTTACGTGGATTTTATTTCCTTCATAGCCAATACGTGCACTACGACTTAACCGCTGATCGAACCAACCGAAGGGTTAGTAAAATGAATGATAAATACCCGAGATAAAAAAGGGCGATATAACCAAAGAGGGAAAGTGATTCAATCTCATTTCGGATTTAGAGCTTAAGACAGATTTGGGTAAAATACGATAAAAAGGTGCTGGCAAGAGCACATCAGACTATACATTTTCGTTGCAAAATAGCTCCTATTACAACCAACATAAGATCCTTTAGAGTTTAGCTTGACATGCCCACTACGAAAGGTAGAGCGCAGATTGACTTGGTGTTAATTGTTAATTAATTATTCGCCATAGCAACGGCGGGAATTAAATTACAAGTACAATGGGGATTTAGGCTAAACACTCTCTTACGTAGTTGTAAAAGTTTTTTTTTTTTTTTCAAGTGATTTGTGCATTTCATACAGGCTGTTGTTATCAGCCCGCTTTTAGCAACCGAAATGAAATTAAATACATAGTTTATTCAGTACATAGGCCCTTTCCAGGGCACTTATACACGTCCCAAATATAGCTTGCCCTACCACCACTTCGGGAAAACTTAAAAAGTGATCTCTTGTTTGGAGTAGGTATGACACAATAGACTCAACATCTATGACTACCAATATGCTAGCCCCTGCTATTCTGGTTAATAAGAAACCCATCATAGCAGAAACCCTGCCTGTACTTCTTATTTTATTCTAATAGAAGCTAAACAAGTCAGCTAATCCTGTATTAGCTATAGTATATTCTGTGGCTATAGATAGTTACATACACTTCATTCATCGATTCCCTTTATCCTACTGAATGTTATTGGCAAAGAACACGCCAATTTAGATGAAAATGATCTACGCTATCGTTCCATCCCCTTAAGCTTATGAGAGCACTCCGCAGCAGATATTGCTTCTGAAACGACTGTAATACGTCACTAAATCATCCAGCGACGTGCGAGCTCGTGGCTTCGATATTGGCTGCATACGATATCCTTTTGAAGTTGCCACTTTAACGTTCTTGTCACTAGGCAATAGAATTTCCATGGTATTCAAGTTTTATTGCCAGAAGAATGTGAATTTTAAAACATTTAATATTTCATATTTCACCTGTAACTAACTATTTATTACAACGGTTGCTTTGTCTTGGTGACTTGCCGACTACATCAGCTACAGTACGGTTATTGGTATGAATCTCGAAGATTACTATTATAAGCATATCGAGCTTCAACAAAACTTTACCCACTAGAAATCACAGACGTTTATAAATTTATTTATGTGGGTAATACTTTAAATACTTTATTTTTATTTATATTACAGTAGGCTGACTTTGCACTTTCTCGGGTTCCCGATTAATAGCAGATAAAATCCTGAAAAATCTAATCGCCATTATTGCGTTCCGTTACGACCAGCCATAAAAAGGCAGTAAAGAAATGTACTGAAATACCTACAATTTTATGACGATGAAAAGACCACTTTATTACACGGACACAAGATGGAATATTTATCGATGGCACAGTAAATAAACCCCTTGAAGATCGAATTACAAAGGATAAAGTTTTTTCGAATTTCTATTGAGAGACGATATCGATATCGGATTCTATAAAGTTTCGACAACGATAAAATGAACGATGTCGATATACGTAAAAAATATATTTCAGTCACGCACAGCATTACGTATTTACATACCTTTTACGTACAATCACAAAAGTTTTTCACATTCGGGCGCTTAGCGCTCCCGCATGGAGACCAACACGACGAGAATTTGAATTTTATCCCACCATTCGAATTTTCATTGTCGCCCATCTTACAATGAGCCCTAGGATCAGTCGGCTCCCCATCAATTTGTAGAGACATCCCAAAATGAGAGGGATCAACCAAAGTTAGTGCTCTCCAAATGTATTCCAGACACGTAAACGGTCAATTGGGATGGAAAATGGCGGAGACTGATTCGACCCGCAAGTTGTTTTGCGAAATGTTAAACTGAATTAAGTATGATTTAAAGTGTGAGATATTGAATTTGAAATTTATCGAATGCCAATCGTTAGGAATTTCAAAGAAAACCGAGTTGTCGGTAGAAATAATACAATAACGAGTTCCAGTGAAAGCTGGATAATACATTTCATTTTAATGAAGAGCTTATAATAGGAAATGGGTTTAATTTCAATTTCTCAGTAAACTCCAATATTTCCAAGGGCTTTTCAAACTAACTTAGAAACAGGAGATTCCACAGAGTCCTTCAAAACTCATCTTCTATTCAAATCAAACTTAGATTGTTTTACAAGTAGGCAAGTATTATCGACATATTTGTAGATAAATTCTTCATCTCGGTTGCTAGCCAAATCAAAAAAGGTTCCTACTTNGTTTTTTTACAAAAAGACCCAAGTGTCATATTATTTTAACCAGAGCTGATACAGATATTTCAATCACAGATTTGAAATCGTCATTAAAAATTGGACTAATATCATGTAACATAACCCAATCATTAGAAATGCTGTTGTGCAGTGTAATTTATGTGGGTAATACTTTAATTACTTTGTTTTTATTTATTTTAGTAGGCTGACTTTGCATTTTCTCGGGTTCCCGATTAACAGCAGATAAAATCTTGAAAAATCTAATCGCCATTATTGCGTTCCGTTACGACCAGCCATAAAAAGGCAGTAAAAAAATGTACTGAAATACCTACAATTTTATGACGATGAAAAGACCACTTTATTACACGGACATAAGATGGAATATTTATCGATGGCACAGTAAATAAACCCCTTGAAGATCGAATTACAAAGGATAAAGTTTTTTCGAATTTCTATTAAGAGACGATATCGATATCGGATTCTATAAAGTTTCGACAACGATAAAATGAACGATGTCGATATACGTAAAAAATATATTTCAGTCACGCACAGCATTACGTATTTACATACCTTTTACGTACAATCACAAAAGTTTTTCACATTCGGGCGCTTAGCGCTCCCGCATGGAGACCAACACGACGAGAATTTGAATTTTATCCCACCATTCGAATTTTCATTGTCGCCCATCTTACATTGAGCCCCAGGATCAGTCGGCTCCCCATCAATTTGTAGAGACATCCCAAAATGAGAGGGATCAACTAAAGTTAGTGCTCTCCAAATGTATTCCAGACACGTAAACGGTCAATTGGGATGGAAAATGGCGGAGACTGATTCGACCCGCAAGTTGTTTTGCGAAATGTTAAACTGAATTAAGTATGATTTAAAGTATGAGATATTTAATTTGAAATTTATCGAATGCCTATCGTTAGGAATTTCAAAGAAAACCGAGTTGTCGGTAGAAATAATACAATAACGAGTTCCAGTGAAAGCTGGATAATACATTTCATTTTAATGAAGAGCTTATAATAGGAAATGGGTTTAATTTCAATTTCTCAGTAAACTCCAATATTTCCAAGGGCTTTTCAAACTAACTTAGAAACAGGAGATTCCACAGAGTCCTTCAAAACTCATCTTCTATTCAAATCAAACTTAGATTGCAATTGTTTTACAAGTAGGCAAGTATTATCGACATATTTGTAGATAAATTCTTCATCTCGGTTGCTAGCCAAAACAAATAAGATTCCTACTTAATAATAATAAAGACAATAATAATAAATAAAACGTACAAAAGGCCCATAAGCTGATAATAGTAATATACTAAGGCGGCAATATTCATAAGAATATTCAGCAAATTCCTCAGCAACAAAAGCGAAATATCCGATAGCCCCGTAGGGTCACAATCACAAAATAACAAGGCACCCGGCTCCTTAATGGAATATTTATCGTCCTTATTGGAGCCTAAGCTTAACACTTATTTGTCCTTTTACCCAGCTCATCTTTTGGTCAGTGTTTTTCTTCTTAAGGCTGAATATGACACGTTGGATCTTTCTTCAAAATGCGGTGGAAATTAAGAGATACTGTAAGAAAGTATCATCACCATCATTATTTCAGCCATAGGACGTCTACTGAACATAGGCCTCCCTCAATTATATCCATAATGACCGGTTG